TTCCAGTTTAAGGATCGTTTTTTATGTTGCCAAGAAAATAGACATTGCAGAACATTCTCAGACATAACAATACATTATCAAAAGTTTTTATGTATACTTAGATACGCATACTACGACTTAGCGTTTCACAAAGGAACCAAAATTTCTCTCACGTTTGCCGCCAAATTGTTTTCTTGCACTGAACAAACTTCAGTATCCCTAGAAATACATCATAGTGATTAGTCAATAGAAGATTCCCCAACTTACTGTAACTATTATAATCACGAATATGTCAGAACCCAACTAATGCATGCCAGGTCCCTGAGTCTCGAACCTGCAGCACAGAGAATGAGCAACCCAAGAAGACATAATTCACATACCTGCATCTTCCTAGGTATGCTGAATTTCAGTCTGCAGAGGGATAAGTTACTTTTCCTCACGAGACACTGAAAAAAAGATCTGCGGATCTTTTTCAGGTTTCAGCCAGTTTTGGTGGGTTTGGCTACAATTCCAGGAATGGCTCAAAGATGTTATGACCAAGGGGTTCTGGTTTGAAGACGTTCGAAGGAGTTTCAATCACCAATTCAGAATTTATATCGATCAAGTGTTTGAATCAAGTAGATCAACCCTGCAACATCCTGAAACCATAATCCCACTCCATCCCATCAGTTTTTTCCATCTTCTTCCGATCTGGCGGAGTGGTGCGCCCATGCTTCGATGAAGCTATCGCCCTCTTCGCCTTGGATAAGTGCCCTACCGCTGCATGCTGGCCGGGGGAATGCATTGAGTGGTTTGGATTTGGCCAAACTTGAGAATCAACATGTCAAAATGAATGAAGCATCCAAATAATTGGCATCCCCAGTTATGTTCAACCTCTTTGTCATACACTAGCCATTTGGGATCTTGGAGAGGTAAAGTCTAAAGGCTGTTGGTTGCTTGCTTTGGTGGGGATGTCAGACGAGCAGCTTGATGGCGTTGAGATGCCAGATGTCCCCCTCGTAGACTTAGCAAAGTGCCTGGAGAAAGACGCATCAGTGAGAGCCCGGGTGATGGAAACTGAGGGTGGCCAACTCACACGTTGGCCAAACAAAAATGCAGTTGGTTTGAAATCGGTAAAGGCCATGGGCCTAAATTCAACAGCACTAGAAATCATGGCGGAATGGTGGGTGCAGTGGATGGATGTTCCTAAGCCCCCCGGTGTGGATCTCATGAGACGGGAGGCCTGGTTGTGTAAAACATCGTGTTTCTAAAGTGTTGGTGTGCTGAATTAAAAAGGTTCCACTGGTAGGTGTCAACCCTTGCCCGTGATTCTCCCTGAAGGTGCAGGAATTGAGGCGAATGCTTGGCAAGAACCCCAAGGATGCGGTGATCGTGCATGTCGATGGCAAGGGCTTGAAGTCTTTGTTTTCGCATGGCATCTGTCGTTTCAAGGACCGATGTGATACTAGTGAGCCCCGTCCCTATCTTTGCTCAGTTTATTTCTGTGTCACATGGTTTAGGGGAATTAATGAGATGGGTGCCATGATGATCTTCTTAGCGAATAAGGTATGGAAACCACAAGTGAATCATATTGAACCAGGGTCCTAAACATGTAATGAAATTCCAATGTTTTTTAACCCTTCAATATCTGATCCCCAACCTTGGATAGCTAGTTTAATCTTTTAGCTCGTTGCTACAAATGGAAAATATACCCAACCAGCAAAACATATCAAAACATTTATTTTTTGTGGACCACCAAAGATTGACCATGATCTTAGGAACCATCTTTGCAGAAGTTCTATGCTATCTTGGAAGCCAATTGGACTCTCGATGCAGCTGCGGCAGCACAGCCTGCCGCAGCACCTGCCGCAGCACCTGCCGCAGCACCTGCTGCAGCAACTGCCGCAGCACCTGCTGCAGCAACTGCCGCAGCACCTGCCGCAGCACCTGCTGCAGCACCTGCCATGGCAGCACCTGCCGCACCTGTACCAGATCCTAGTCCTGCCCCGGTTCCATCGGCCTTGCCTCCGAATCCAGATTCAGGAGCAGCTTCTTCTGCTCCAGCTGCTGCACCTGTGCCAGCGCCAGAGGCAGCAGTTGTGGAGGATCCGAGAGATGGTGGGGAAGATGATGCTATCATGGTAGACTCTGTGACCTCGGGTGATTTGGTTGTAGCAGTTTCAACAGACACGTTGATGGATACACCAAGCCATGAGGAATTTCAAGACTCACAAACAGACCCTGGATGTTACTTGAGCCCAGTGCATGAACCGATCGAAAACCCAAGTGAAGAGTCAGAACCAGTTTCCATGAGTTCGGCTATGCTGCCCCCATCCATGGTGCCAGAGAAGAAGAGGGTTGCCGCAGACTTGGGGGACAGCCTTGACCCTTATGCCCCTGGTCTATCCTATGATGAGACTGCACGCAGGGTCCGTGCCCGGATTCTTTTGCTCCAGTTCTTTGGTTGCCTTAAGCTGTTTGGTTGATTGGGATGCCATGGTATGAAAGCCAATACAGTAGCACATACAAAAGTGAATTACCATATTATATATTATATATATACAAAAGTAAAACACAACATATGATATTACAAAATGTTGGCAAACACTGTATGATTGCAGGGTGTTGGATTAGTTAGTAAGTGTCATGAAGTTAGTGACTCCCACTCACCATGAGGCAGAACATTGGATGCCCGAGTGCCTCTTCAGCTCCATCATCTTCGGGCCGTTCCGCAACACCTGGGCATGCAGATGTTCCACCAGGTCCCATGACAGCACTCAGAATCGCAATGTTTTCCACTCTTTCAACCTGGGGGATACAATTCACAAAGAAACACAAACGGGTTGACATTTAAAATTTACATATTGTGGTGAAAGTATGGCCCACTGAAGGCACGGAAGCTACTGAGACCCTGCCCATGACTGAGACACAGGTCATGGAAGTGTTTGAAGGCTTCTCGAAGCAAGAATCCCCCCCTTGTTCCAGATCCGCTACGGAGAAGGATATCATGGTTTTTCAGAAGAAGCTTCAACGATTGGAAAGCACCCTGATTCTTGGCGATTCTCCACAGCCTGAAGTGGTTCCTTCTCATGATGGTGGGGCAGCCTGTCCAGACAGTCCCATGCCTGTGTCACCTGCGGATGAAATCTCATTGACCCAGCTGAATCCTGCGGAGGTTAGCCCTGATGGATGTGACCCAGCAAATCCTGTGGAGGTGGAGGTCAGCTCTGATGATTCCGATGGACAAACAGTTCCCCCAGTCTTACGAGAAGCTCAAGATGCTTGGAAAGGTGCTGCCATGGCCAAAGCCCCAAAGGAGGAGAAGGAAGAATCGCGTGGTCGTGGAAGAGTTCGCGGGAGAGGTCGTGGCGGCCGGGCTCCCAAGCAACCTGCGGCCACTGATGAGGTTGAGGTTGTCGCTTGCCCTCGCCGTGACTTGGAGTCTGCTTTTGACGCGGTGGATGACACAGGTCCAAACGTGGAGGTGCCAGACTCTAAGGCAGCCAAAAAAGAAAAAAAGAAGAAAAATGCGGAACCGACCAACAGTACCTCCAAGCGCAAGGAGAAGAAGGGTGTGGAGAAACCGAAAAAACATCGTAAGAGCATGGACAAGAAGGATGGCAAGGACAAACCTGATGAGCCAGAACAAGATCCTGAGATGAACAACCTCCTTGGTGGCAATTCAACGTTTGCTGGAAGGTATCCTCCTGACAGTGCTGAAGCCAGGAACCGCTTTGTGGCCATGGTTTCCACCTACCTCTCGAAGGTGGCGCCGCACATCGACAGCTCCAATACTACTCAGGTTGGTTGGGTGGAAACTTTGTTGGGGCTTGGGAGAATATATGTTGCTGTGGAGCTGAAATACTACATTATTTTTTGTAAAAAAAACAAGTTGACCTGGGCCAACATTGACCTCAAACCCTGACCCTGCAGCACTACTGGTGGAAATTTGCTTTCAAGTCGATTGCGAAGACCAAGAATGTCACCTTGGATGATTATCGTCGCATTGTTGAAGGTGAAGTTGCGAAGTTCCTTCAAACTGCGGAAGCTCGTAGACTGGATGCAACAGACAGCAATTTGCAGGGGGGGCATTCCATCCCAATCTCAACAATGTTGTTATTTTTTCAAGTTTGTTTGTTTGATTTTTGCCCCAACTTTGTTCAGCCAACCTGGGATAGCCTTCGTGTAAGGTGCTGTGGCTCTTGACTCCTAGAGCTGCATTGGTGGTCGGAAGACCAATGCCTTTTTGACTGAGGGCCTAGAGGAGGGGCAGTGCTAGGGCGAAAGTCTGACCAAACATATCACTTTAAATTCAAATCTATTGCCCTTCATCTCAAAGCAAACTTGTGATTCACATCACCTCTTGCATGCTGCCCTCCATGCCCCCGACGACAATAGGGACTAGGGGAGCCAAACAGCATGGGAGCACAAAAGCTAGCTGATTGAGCATCATATCTTGACCGATGTATTATATAGATGGGAAGGAATATGGATAAAGTATATTAAAGAAATATGCTGGGATATAGTAGCCACTGGGATACAATGGATTTAGCTGGACATAATTGGTATTCCAACATCTTATTGTCCCCATCGCAGGTACCCACATCCAGAAGAATGTCAGGACTCAGGCGTGGGCAAAACTGGCTTGCTGGCCGGGGCTATCTGTCAGACCAAGGTCCTGCCCGCATGTTTTGGGACGATTGATCAAAATTACAGGTCAAAGGTATGTTGGGAAAAACAAACGAGTGGTGAGTAAGTGTCCTCAGAACATGTTGGGTTTTAGCATATTTTAGCCTTTAATCCGAAGACCCTTCCAGTCCAAGAGTGAAATTCGTAGACCCAACACTGCCATGGATCTTGACACAGTGGATTTGGTAGCGCGACGGCTGATGGAAATGTCAGCACCGAAGGATTCTCGGTATGAATGGGAACGCCATCCTTACAACAAGTACCACATCCATTCACTGATCAATAAAAAGAATCACAAATTCCAACAACAAGTTATTACGATTCAAATTCAATGTAACTAATATATATATATATATTACGGGGATGTCTCAAAATGAGGTGCCCTTTTTGAGCCCCAAAATGCATTTTTAAAGAATAAAAAAGGGCACGCATCATTTTGAGACATCCCTTCGATGATTTCTTTTCTCCTGGGGAAACATGCAGCCACCTGAGGATTTCATCCTCCTGATCCTTCTTTGCAGCTGGCTACCCATGAGCCAACCTGATGCCCCATGGGATGTCTTGGATTATTTTTGTGGGGTTGGCCGGATCAGCCAACTTGCTTCCAAATTTGGTTTCCAGAGTGCAGCCTGTGATATCAAACATCACCAGCCGGATGCAAGATCAGAATCACAACGCAAGTCTGGACGCCCCAAAAGGTCAAGATTTGATATCAATGGAGAGGTTGGTTTTGCGTTGCCATGCTCAATTGGGAAATTTTGTTTCTTAGAATGGGAAAACTTCTACCAGGGTTCAGCTCCTCCCCAAATCAATTCGATTACTCTTCTTGACATGTTCTTATGTGAAACTATCCCTGCGGATGCTCCTGCTGCCTGTTGGAAGCTGAGGTTGATGGTGAGCCTGGCATTGCAGGGCAAGTTCGCCCAGCTATTGATGATGCTGGCCACTGTTTGCTCGACATGGGTGGCTGTCAACGTAGGGACAAGTCGCAGATCGGTTCTAACTCCATCTGGCTTATGGCATTACACTTCAGTCAGAAAAGCTAATAAGCAAGTGACACGGAGCGGGTTGAGAAACAAGTTCTGCAAATGTTAAACTGACCATTGGTTCTGCTTCGCCATGTGTTCTGAAATTCCCGTCAGGACTTGTCTACTGATCCTCCTGATAGTTTGTATGGATGCAACCTTCATATTGGAGCAGCCGTTCTCCAGCTTGATGATCTTGTTCCATAGGATGCGACAAACCTTCAGAATGTTGAGGAGGGTTGGAGTGAAGGTGGGGATTGGCTAAAGCAGCTAGAGAGGGTCAATAGTATAGGCTTGGTTGTATGTCTAGAATTGGTGCTATCCACCAGCAATCCAAGAATCAACAATCAATTCAATCAAATTTGTTGGCATAATATAATATAATATATAATCACCAGGGAAAGGAAACATCATTTTCCATGAGGGGAGTGGTTATCCAAAAAAGAAATCATGGTTTCAAATGGCCTCTGGGGAAGGAAGGAAATCATTTTCAGTTTCAAAAATTTACTCTTCAGAGTGGTAATTCGTTTTGAGCGTTTCACCCACCAAATCCCAAATTTGGTAGCACCATTCGGGTCCCAAAAAATAACACTTCAGAGTGGTAATTGTTTTTGAGCTTTTCAACCACCAAATCCTTTTGGGTCCCAAAAGAGCCAGAATTGAAAGATGTATTCACTCAGCTTTGTGGGGTGACCTTTGTTCCGTGTTCTGGCCCCAACTTAAAAGAAGTAAAGGTGGTTTGTGCAAAACAGAATGGTGTCACCAAATATCCACCGGTCCAGGTCTTTCAATGCAAGCTGTGGATGCAGAGCTATGGGGGCCGTTGCCCCAAACCGACGATGCTGGTTGCGAACACAGAGCTAATCCAGAAGCTCGAGACTAGTAAGCCCAGGGGTGTGAAAGAAAGGCCTGTGAAAACATGCAGGAAATATACAGATGCCAGTGGTAAACAACGATATCAAGGAACACCCCAACTTCGTTCTACACAGCATTTTAGCTGTAATGGAATATTTTTTCCTTTGTTTCTGGAAGCTTCCGAAAGGTCTAGGTTATATATAACACAAGGCAATGACAATTTCTGATTCGAACCCCTTCTTGGAAACTAAGGGTCTATCCTCCTGGGTTCGCAAGAGCAATCGTGGGGTTGATTCCGGCCATACAATCGGAAAAACCCAAATGGGACCACGATGCCACTCAACTCAATCTTTGGTTTTAGTCTTTGATCCTTGTTCCATGAATTTCAGTGCTTCACGTGTATAGTCCCCGCGCTGCAAAGACCTGCGATTGTGAGGTTGATCTTCGCACCCCGCTCCATGTCCTTTTCGGCGAATACCCTTGGAGCACCTGGGATGAGGCTGAACTGGAATCCACGCTGCATTACCTGCGCGGGTGCAAGCAGCTGAACATTCCAGCAGAGTTTCGACCTTTGATTCCGTCACGGTTGTGATAACCGTGTGAAACTAATTCAATGGTGGCCTTTCAATTCAATGAAGCGGTGGTTGACATGGCACACCAAAAAAAAGTAATTTTTCCCCAGGCGTTTTTACCCAATCCACAGGCGTTTTTCCCCGATACACAGGCGTTTTTTCCCGTACTCTAGTTTTACACAAAATTTTCACAAAAGATAACATACCAAACTCGAATCATCTTTGTGTATCTTATGATTATCGTTCTTTGTTGACCCATGGCATGACCACCATTCAGTACCAAATTCATGACTATCCCAGTTTACCACTGGGCAGGCCCAAAAAAGGGGTCATCGTCCAGTCTTGGGAGTGGAAATGTGGTTGTCTTAGTGCTCAAGACGTTTGCTACAAGATTCTCACCCCTCGAACTCCCAGGTAGAAAATGGAAACAGCTTGTTGTGTGAGTTGGTCTGTGTATATGTTGCAACTGTGTTGGAACTGTTGTCTCATTGTCTTGAAAAAAACTTATCTTCCAACAGCCATTTGGGATCCAATTATTTTTGTGATAGTTTGTCATGAAGCCAATGCAGAGCAACGCATGGTCTTCCTCGAGTTTGGATGCTGCTATGGGAATGGTTTCTGATAGATCCAATGCAATGAAATCGGACCCATTTCCTTCGGAGAAAGATAAAATGACGCAAGAACTGGCTGTACCCAGGATGTGCTTAGTGGTTATCTTTTTTGTTTTTCTTCCATGTGGTTCTTAGTGGTTATCTTAAATATTATCTAGGTCCCTTTGGCTGCTCTGAGGCTTTGCAAGAGTGGCTGGCACGCAATGAGAAGAGCCGGCCAATTCCCACACCGGTTCGGCCTCTTGAGGCTTCGCGACCTTCTTCTGCTCATCAACCTCAAGTTGCTGGGAATGTGGGGGCTGGTGCCGAGGTGGGTGAGAGTCACCACTACCGTGAGTCCATCTCCAATGCCCCCTTGACCTGTGGTTATGCTACCCCTGATGAAAGTGATTCTGATGTTGACATGGAAAAATTGAATTTCAATGAAGATGGGATTGTGCAACCGCCGGAAGTGGAGGTCCCCAAGGCAGACTCCAACGTGGGCTTGTCGCCGCGTGATCTGCCAAAGCCCCCTGTTGCTGTTGCGACTCCAGGCCCAGTTGATCCAGGCCACAGAGCTAGTAAAAATCCTTTGGTGGCTGTCAAGAAGGAAGTTGATCCAGCCCCCAGACCTAGTACAAAAAAGGTCGTGGCTGTTGCGACAGAAGTTGAACCGACCGCATCCTATGGTGGCCATACCCCCTCAACACCAGAACCGTTTCTGGACCAGGATGGCATCCTTTTGAGTGGGGTTCCCTCGATCGCGGATCAGCAAGCTCCAAAGCCGCAGCTTCAAGTTCATGATATTTCTCCAGCAGCAACCGCCAACGTGCCAACCGCATATTCACCCCCAGAGTGGATGGTACATTGAAGGTGTCCAAAGTTATCTTTGACGAGTGGAAGGGTAAGGGAAAAGAGAGAAAACTGTTGGAACAGATTTTCCGTCAATGTGGATATTCCCCAGAATCCTGTCTGTGAGACAAGTTTCACTTTTCTTTTTTGCCAAACCATGTAACCATGTAATTAGATCTCGTGGTGTAGGTGTAAGAAGGAAGGGTAACTCTTGATTTCTGTGGCCCCTGGTTGAAACACATACTCACCCCAAAAAATAATGTTTTAGCACATGCTCATCGCCGAGGAAACCTTCATCTCTGAAGTGGAGATCTTACGTGAAGAGATGCCTGAAACCGAAGTGGTTGTGGAGGGCCAATTTGCTTCGGAGGCTGAAATGGTTGAATGGGGCTTCAGTGAGTACTTTGGTTGAAATATATATGCTTATATAATATAAATTTATATCTTGCTATATGGGGATGTCTCAAAATTGAGGTGCCCTTTTTTTACCTTAAAGGGACATATTTGGGGGCCAAAAAGGGCACCTCATTTTGAGACGTACCATATTTATTAGGCCTGAGCAAAGTAGTAAATAGTAAGAGTTACATTCTTTTGCTGATATTCAATCTTATTACAAGCTACATCTAAAATATATCTAAATAATCTAAATAATCTACATAGAATCTTTATATACCTGTTGTTTACTAATAGAAATAATACATGTACATAAAATATTCTATATAGTTTTGAAAACAAAGAAAACGTTCATAAGATAAGATGTATAAGTATATGAACATCAACAAGATAAATGGGTAAAAACCTATTTAAATTATAAATATATATATAATATCGATTTCTATATCTATATCTGTATAATACTAACTCTACAGTACTTGATATTAAATATATAGAGTATCTATTTCTATATTACAAATATATATATATATATATAAAATACTAACTCTACAGTATATGATATTCATTTGTTCACATACATTTCCATATAATATATATAGATATATAATATGTATAAATATAAATATATATATATATATTGATTTATTTAGTATAGTCGCTTACCACCTGCCGCTTTTTGCTGAGGCAGCGAATCACCGCTGTGAAAGAGCACTGCAAGACCAATCCTACTAAGCTTCTGAGGTGCCGGGCATGGCTGGTATCTTTGGGTATCTCCCTTCCTGTCTTTGTGACCTTGGGTCAGCCAATGCTGCTGCTCACAGGAAAGACATCTACGAGAAGACCCTGCTCTTTTACGTCGAACGTTGCATCAAAGGTACTGAGAAGAATCTTGGTGTGGTATGTGGAAGTGGATTGGGGTGATTTAAGGTTTGGCACTAGAAGGATCTTGGTACTAGAAGAGGGGCCTGATAGGTTTGCCAACTGCAGCATCCATGCATACCTCCCCAAACCATGTTGTCTTCTTCCTAGGAGAAGATCCCGCCTCACAATGAGCAAGAGGGCACGCTTTGAAGAGTCCGGCATCGATGGCATGGACAATGGCTTTGAGATGCCAGATGCATCTGCGGTTGAAGGTGGGCCAATACCCCAGGATCCCTTACCAAACTATCAGCCATGCTTTTGAATTGATAAATTGAATCATCCAAGCCAATTCGAAGAAACTTGGAAAGGCCAAGTGCTCTTTTGTTGGGTAAACTTATGTGTTTTTTAAATCTTGTTTATTAGCCCCTAAGCAATCACCATTCAGTAATTTGGGATTAGCATAACCAAACCAAACAGCACATTCCAAATTCATCTGGGGATTTTGTGGCAGGCGACGAGACGCAGCAGCTCTTGGATGAGTCCGAGAAGGTGGATGCTGCTGCCAAGAAACGTAAGACCCTAGGGATTCCAGAACTAGACCCGGATGCGTTGCCCAGTGCCCAAGTCCAAAGCTACACGATTTCTGGTCGCAGAAAGGCCCATCACTGTATTGATGTTTATTATGTCTACCCCATTCTGAAAAAATCGAACATTTTCCAACCAAGGACAGCTCTGTGCAAACGAATCAAAAAGATGGAAGAGCTTGCTCAGAAGTTCAATGTTGACTGGGCTCTAACGGAATTGCAACAACGGTTTCTTGGAATTGCCCAAGTGGTGCAATACACAGCACTGCTGTGACCAGCCCATGGTCCCCAAACTTACTTACAGCAAGAGCCTTTTCGGCTGAGGCTCCAGACTGCCATCAAGGATTCGTGCAAGGCCTTGGAAAAGTGGCATGGAACACTTTCGGATGAGTACTCCGCTGGTGTGATCAATGGGTATTCGAAGGAGAGACTTTGGATGTATTTGGATTATAAGGAACCAGTTACAATTCAAGAATTTGGGATGTAGAATGCCATAGAATGCCTCATGTCCTCTGGGGGGATTCCCACAGCTGACATGCCAAGGACAGAAGCTCGTTTGAGAAAGCTGATCGATGATGCTGGTGCACAGAGCAGCCCTTAGCGTATGCATTCTTATCCAGGAATCAGAGTGAAATCTTGACATGCTATGTCACTGGATCCTAGGGCATCTGAGTCTCTGGCCTTGGAGAACCGAGCGAGGCTTGGGACCCCACAGCATCATCACCATACGTAGCTTTCATCCCCGCAGCTTCAGCACCATAGATGGTTTTCGCCATCAACCTGGCCAGGCCATTCATTCCACGTGGTGGTGAGCCGGGTGCCAAAGCGAAAGCGAAAGCGAAATCAAAGGCTAAGGCCAAGACTGCCCCTCGAAAGAGGGCGCAGTGAGCAGAGTAGATCAGTGCACTGGCATTGCAAGATGCTTTTTTCAAAGCATTAGGCTAGTTGCGAATCTAGATTTACAGCCGTTGGTTTCCGGCCATTTGCCCGGCACATGTTTGAAACTTTACCTTTTGTTCCACAAAATGTTCCGGCTCTTTTCTCAACCTGGGATGAACTTTCACAACCTCCAGTCAAGCTTGTTGTTTGAGGCCCGGCAAGAACTGGCTGATGGCCAACGCGTGATGAGCATGCGTTGATAATTCTACATGGGGTTAACACAAGCTTGTTGAACTCGCACTCCGGAAAAAAATGTTTAGTTGCCTGCTGCACTAACCCCCAGTGTCACTAAGAAAGACAGTATTTCCTAAAGCAAAACATGCTGATGGCCAGGTGTGGTCGAACGTGCACCTGGTGATACCAGCCAGAACTATGCTGAAATTTTGGCGGATGGGGTAGGAAACCTGGTGTTTGAATCTAGTGAAAGCCTGAAGCAGTGAGGTTCCCTTTTGCTTTCCCAATCCACTGGCCTTCCTAGGTCCCAGCAGCTGCTTTGCGCCACTACGGCGACCTTGCCAGGGCTGAGATGGGTGAATGTGGGAAGAACCTGGCGCCAACAAATTCTGCCAGGGATGCTCATGCCTTTATCAACCGGTGGGGTTTGAGTTGGAGGGTCCCATACTCGCTCTTCAAGTACCAGGAATCCGGACAAAGTTACGAGTTTTCATACTTGAGCCCCATATCCTTCACAAAGTATCTACTTGAGAAAGCCCCTCAGCTGGTCATGGGTGGCATTGATGGATGCCAAGGCCGGAAAAATTTGGAATCGTTCTGGGCTTCCTACAGGGCCATCGATCCTGAACATATTTTTTTCCAAGAAGATTGCCCAGGGAGAACATCGTCCAACACTTTGGCTTTTGCTGTTCATGGAGATGAGGGAAGGGGTGCTAAAAAAGGCAACACTTGCATCATCAGCATGGAAACTGTTCTGGGTCTGCGACATCCATCAGCCCAGTGGGATTCAACTACCTGTTCTGAATGCGTAGTTTCCGCTAAAGGGGCAAAACGCTTTAAGCTAGGCCCTGAGACCACCCAGCATCACAGTATGGACGTGCCTCCATGTGCGAAGCAAGTGACCAACCTCAAGGAGCACAGCTATTTGACTAAGTTTGTGTTGGGGGTACTACCCAACAAGTATTACAAAGGAACTGGTGTGTTGGATGAATTCCTCACTGTGCTATGTGCAGCCTTTGAGGTGTTGTTCAATGATGGTGTGCTTATTGGATCTGACAGATGGTATCTTTGCGTGGTCGGCCTCAAGGGCGATCTACGTTGGCACGAAAAGACTGCGCATTTGGAGCGCTGCTTTAATAAGCAGCTAGGGCATGTGATGTGCATGTGTCACATGTGTGCTGCTGGATCGGCTGAGGTCCCATGGGAGGATTCCTCCCACCAACCAAAATGGAGTCAAACTTTGTTCCCTACGAGGCCTTGGAGTGAGGAAAACGTTCCTTCAATAGTGCAAATTCCTTGCAATCCTGGAAAGCCTGAAGCAATCATAAAATCTGATTTGTTTCACAATACAAAGGTTGGCATGCTGCGAGATTTTGTGGGCAGTGCGGTCATGATGATTATTCACTTTGGGTATTTTCATGAACGAGGGGAAGGCAACAGCCGTGATGTTCTTCTACTACGAGCACATTCTCATTTCATTTGGTATTGCAAAACTACTTCTCAGTACCCAGCTCTTCATTCATTCACCCCGATTTTCTTCAACATGACACGCAGCTGGCATTATCCTTGGGTCAATGCCAAAGGGAGTGATGTGACTCTAATGCTCAGCTGGTTGAAGGTGCTTGCAGTTGCAGTTTTGAACAGCATGGGGAATGAAGTCCATACAGGAGCCCTAGAGAGCATAGTCAGAGCAGTCAACCATGTGAAAGGCTGGGAAAGGATCGTCTATGGGCATGGGCTCTGGCTTACAAAAACTTGTGGCGCAGTTCTCTACGAACATTTCCATCAGTTCATTGAAGAATACAACCTTTTGGCGCACTTGTGCTTGCATCAATTCAGAATTCCTGGCTTTGCAAAAAAAGCAAAGCAACACATGCTGATGCACGCCAAATATGACTTGTATGTGCAGCTGAAGGACCCACTTGTCAAGTGGGTTTTAAACCCGAACATATGGAACTGTGAGATGTGTGAAGATCTAGTAGGCCGACTTTCCCGACTCAGTCGACGTGTTTCACCCCAAACCCCGGCCAAGCGAAGCCTCGATCTTTATTTGATTAAATGCCGGGCTGTGTATCAAAGGTACAAATCAAAAAAAACTGTAAAGAAATATGGTTTGAAAAACAAGAGGATTCCCAGGTAATTATTTTCGAGGGGACATGACAACAACAGACTAAATAATCTATTTGTATCTATTTGTTGCTTTACGTGGGCATCCTCCTTGCCATTGCTCCTGCTGGGGGGCCGGACCATTTTGGAAGGAACCGGTGAGGCGCTCAAATTTTGAAGCTAGCGGTCTTTGGGATTGGCTGGAGGTTGATGGGTCCCAGTTGCTTTGAGTTAGAACTTAGAACAAATAGATTAGAATGAATTATTGCTTTACATTGGAATGAACTTTTCTTTCAACATTTCACTGGCCACTTTCCTGAAGATCATGTCTAAATCATGTTGGAAACAGGTGTTCAACATTCAAATGATTTGAGCAAGATGATGCCTACAGGTCCCCGGGCTACCGCATGTTGGTTTGAACAAATCATAACATGCCCCCTCGGATGTTTTTTTGGGTTCCGGATTTTTTTTGTGACCTCGGATGTTTTTTTGTGCAAGTCAGACCTCGGATCTTTATTTGGGGCTGCGCGAAGTTCCAGGTATATACTATCATCAAAATGTTGATATATAAACGGCCGGAAAACCTATGCATCACTACCGCACCCAAACCCATACGCAGCGTAGCAACCATGTAACGTAGTACAACATGTAACATAGTAAAAGATCCCAGAGATCTTAGCAACGTAGCAACATGTAACGTAGTAAAAGATCCCAGAGATCTCAGCAGCGTAGCAACATGTAACGTAGTACATCATGTAACGTAGTAAAAGATCCCAGAGATCTTAGCAACAAAGCAACATGTAACGTAGTAAAAGATCCCAGAGATCTCAGCAGCGTAGCAACATGTAACGTAGTACAACATGTAACGTAGTAAAAGATCCCAGAGATCTTAGCAGCGTAGCAACATGTAACGTAGTACAACATGTAACATAGTAAAAGATCCCAGAGATCTTAGCAACGTAGCAACATGTAACGTAGTAAAAGATCCCAGAGATCTCAGCAGCGTAGCAACATGTAACGTAGTACAAGATCCCAGAGATCTTAGCAACGTAGCAACATGTAACGTAGTAAAAGATCCCAGAGATCTTAGCAACGTAGCAACATGTAACGTAGTAAAAGATCCCAGAGATCTCAGCAGCGTAGCAACATGTAACGTCGTACAAGATCCCAGAGATCTCAGCAGCGTAGCAACATGTAACGTAGTAAAAGATCCCAGAAATCTTAGCAACATGGCAATATATAATGACGAAGTACAAGGAACGTTAACATGCCCCCCCACCCCACCCCACCCCACCCCACCCCAAGCAGCAATACGCAAAAAAGTAGCAAAACGCACGTACGGTTTTCCTGCCGTAGGCACAAACTTGACTTTGTGAAGGCAGAATCCTTCACAAACTGGACTTTGTGAAGGCAGAATCCTTCACAAACTGGGCTTTGTGAAGCAAGAATCCTTCACAAACTGGACTTTGTGAAGGCAGAATTCCTCACAAACTTGACTTTGTGAAGGCAGAATTCTACACAAACTGGACTTTGTGAAGGCAGAATCCTTCACAAACTGGACTTTGTGAAGGCAGAATCCTTCACAAACTGGACTTTGTGAAGGCAGAATCCTTCACAAACTGGACTTTGTGAAGGCAGGATCCTTCACAAACTTGACTTTGTGAAGCCAGAATCCTTCACAAACTTGACTTTGTGAAGGCAGAATTCTTCACAAACTTGACTTTGTGAAGGCAAACTCCTTCACAAACTTGACTTTGTGAAGGCAGAATCCTTCACAAACTTGACTTTGTGAAGGCAGAATCCTCCACAAACTGGACTTTGTGAAGGCAGAATCCTTCACAAACTTGACTTTGTGAAGCCAGAATCCTTCACAAACTGGTCTTTGTGAAGGCAGAATCCTTCACAAACTTGACTTTGTGAAGCCAGAATCCGTCACAAACTTGACTTTGTGAAGCCAGAATCCTTCACAAACTTGACTTTGTGAAGGCAGAATCCTTCACAAACTTGACTTTGAGAAGGCAAAATCCTTCACAAACTGGACTTTGTGAAGGCAGAATCCTTCACAAACTGGACTTTGTGAAGGCAGAATCCTTCACAAACTTGACTTTGTGAAGGCAGAATCCTTCACAAACTTGACTTTGTGAAGGCAGAATTCTTCACAAACTTGACTTTGTGAAGCCAGAATCCTTCACAAACTTGACTTTGTGAAGGCAGAATCCTTCACAAACTTGACTTTGTGAAGGCAGGATCCTTCACAAACTTGACTTTGTGAAGGCAGAATCCTTCACAAGCTTGACTTTGTGAAGGCAAAATCCTTCACAAACTGGACTTTGTGAAGGCAGGATCCTTCACAAGCTTGACTTTGTGAAGGCAAAATCCTTCACAAACTGGACTTTGTGAAGGCAGGATCCTTCACAAACTGGATCCTTCACAAACTGGACTTTGTGAAAGGACTTTGTGAAGGCAGGGTCCTTCACAAACTTGACTTTGTGAAGGCAAAATCCTTCACAAACTGGACTTTGTGAAGCCAGAATCCTTCACAAACTTGACTTTGTGAAGCCAGAATCCTTCACAAACTTGACTTTGTGAAGGCAGAATCCTTCACAAACTTGGCTTTGTGAAGGCAGAATCCTTCACAAACTTGACTTTGTGAAGGCAGAATTCTTCACAAACTTGACTTTGTGAAGGCAAAATCCTTCACAAACTTGACTTTGTGAAGGCAGAATCCTTCACAAACTGGACTTTGTGAAGGCAGAACCCTTCACAAACTAGGCTTTGTGAAGCAAGAATCCTTCACAAACTGGACTTTGTGAAGGCAGAATTCATCACAAACTTGACTTTGTGAAGGCAGGATCCTTCACAAACTGGACTTTGTGAAGGCAGGATCCTTCACAAACTTGACTTTGTGAAGGCAAAATCCTTCACAAACTTGACTTTGTGAAGGCAAAATCCTTCACAAACTTGACTTTGTGAAGGCAGAATCCTTCACAAACTTGACTTTGTGAAGGCAGAACCCTTCACAAACTGGACTTTGTGAAGGCAAAATCCCCCACAAACTGGACTTTGTGAAGGCAGAATCCTTCACAAACTGGACTTTGTGAAGGCAGGATCCTTCACAAACTTGACTTTGTGAAGGCAGAATCCTTCACAAACTTGACTTTGTGAAGGCAGAATCCTTCACAAACTTGGCTTTGTGAAGCCAGAATCCTTCACAAACTGGACTTTGTGAATGCAGAATTCTTCACAAACTTGACTTTGTGAAGGCAGAATCCTTCACAAACTTGACTTTGTGAAGCCAGAATCCTTCACAAACTTTGTGAAGGCAGAACCCTTCACAAACTTGACTTTGTGAAGGCAGAATTCTTCACAAACTTGACTTTGTGAAGCCAGAATCCTTCACAAACTTGACCTTGTGAAGGCAGGATCCTTCACAAACTTGACTTTGTGAAGGCAGAATCCTCCACAAACTTGACTTTGTGAAGGCAAAATTCTTCACAAACTTGACTTTGTGAAGGCAAAATCCTTCACAAACTTGACTTTGTGAAGCCAGAATCCTTCACAAACTTGACTTTGTGAAGCCAGAATCCTTCACAAACTTGACTTTGTGAAGGCAGAATCCTTCACAAACTGGACTTTGTGAAGGCAGGATCCTTCACAAACTTGACTTTGTGAAGGCAGGATCCTTCACAAACTTGACTTGGTGAAGGCAAAATCCTTCACAAACTGGACTTTGTGAAGCCAGAATCCTTCACAAACTGGACTTTTAGAAGGCAGGATCCTTCACAAACTTGACTTTGTGAAGGCAGAATCCTTCACAAACTTGACTTTGTGAAGGCAAAATCCTTCAAACTGGACTTTGTGAAGGCAGGATCCTTCACAAACTGGACTTTGTGAAGGCAGGATCCTTCACAAACTTGACTTTGTGAAGGCAGAATCCTTCACAAACTTGACTTTGTGAAGGCAGAATTCTTCACAAACGTGACTTTGTGAAGGCAGAATTCTTCACAAACTTGACTTTGTGAATGCAAAATCCTTCACAAACTTGACTTTGTGAAGGCAGAATCCTTCACAAACTTGACTTTGTGAAGGCAGAATCCTCCACAAACTGGACTTTGTGAAGGCAGAATCCTTCACAAACCTGACTTTGTGAAGCCAGAATCCTTCACAAACTGGTCTTTGTGAAGCCAGAATCCTTCACAAGCTTGACTTTGTGAAGGCAAATTCCTTCACAAACTTGACTTTGTGAAGGCAGAATCCTTCACAAACTTGACTTTGTGAAGGCAAAATCCTTCACAAACTTGACTTTGTGAAGGCAAAATCCTTCACAAACTTGACTTTGTGAAGGCAGACTCCTTCACAAACTTGACTTTGTGAAGGCAGAATCCTTCACAAACTGGACTTTGTGAAGGCAGAATCCTTCACAAACTGGACTTTGTGAAGGCAGAATCCTTCACAAACTTGACTTTGTGAAGCCAGAATCCTTCACAAACTTGACTTTGTGAAGGCAGAATTCTTCACAAACTTGACTTTGTGAAGGCAGAATTCTTCACAAACTGGACTTTGTGAAGGCAGAATTCTTCACAAACTTGACTTTGTGAAGGCAGAATTCTTTACAAACTTGGCTTTGTGAAGGCAGAATTCTTCACAAACTTGACTTTGTGAAGGCAGAATTCTTCACAAACTTGACTTTGTGAAGGCAGAATCCTTCACAAACTTGACTTTGTGAAGGCAGAATTCTTCACAAACTTGACTTTGTGAAGCCAGAATCCTTGACAAACTTGACTTTGTGAAGGCAGAATCCTTCACAAACTGGACTTTGTGAAGGCAGAATCCTTCACAAACTGGACTTTGTGAAAGCAGAATCCTTCACAAACTGGACTTCGTGAAGCCAGAATCCTTCACAAACTTGACTTTGTGAAGGCAGGATCCTTCACAAACTGGACTTTGTGAAGGCAATATCCTTCACAAACTTGACTTTGTGAAGGCAAAATCCTTCACAAACTTGACTTTGTGAAGGCAGAATCCTTCACAAACTTGACTTTGTGAAGCCAGAATCCTTCACAAACTTGACTTTGTGAAGGCAGAATCCTTCACAAACTGGCTTTGTGAAGGCAGAAGCCTTCACAAACTTGACTTTGTGAAGGCAGAATCCTTCACAAACTTGACTTTGTGAAGGCAGAGCCCTTCACACACTTGACTTTCTGAAGGCAACATTCTCCACAAATTTGACTTTGTGAAGGCAGAATCCTTCACAAACTTGACTTTGTGAAGGCAGAATTCTACACAAACTTGACTTTGTGAAGCCAGAATCCTTCACAAACTTGACTTTGTGAAGCCAGAATCCTTCACAAACTTGACTTTGTGAAGGCAGAATTCTTCACAAACTGGACTTTGTGAAGGCATGTGAGAGCGTGCTCGGAAAGATTGAGTAGCAGTTTCCACATGTGACGCTGTATGTTCTCAAGTGATTCAGTGTAGGGGGTGATGCCATGAAAGCCAAGACCTTCCTCTTATCATTGATCCTACGTTTCCTAGAAGTTGGAAGAGAGAGGCAGGTGTTGGTTCAAGATTCCCAGGCTATCCATCATCATCATCACACGTGCAGTTGTGAGTGCTCCTGCGTGTCTGACCGCGGATTGACTGGTCGAGAAGGATTCTTGTTGACACTGTTGTTGGTCTCGTGTGGTTACATCCTTTACCAGCGTTGTCGCAAAGAAGATCCCCCAAGCTTGCATGGCTCCCCCAGAAGGAAGGGTGGAGGAGTTGTCGTCCTGCCTGCCGGGCGATAAAGTGATTGTATGGTACAGTGATGACTCGGTCTATCATGAGAGAGTGCTGCTGTGGAAAACTGGTGAGTCAACTTGGTATATTGTTACCCCTGATCATGACGTTTATGTGGAGGATTTCAATGACCCGGCCAATGGTCCAGCCAGATTCCACATCAAAGGGCTTCATTTCAAGTACTATTCAAGGCTGTCTCATGGAGTTTACAGATTTGATGACGAACTTTCAGAAGATGAGCTGAAGAAGTTCATTGAGGAGGCTTTGGACGATCTAGGCTATGATGTGCTGCCCCCAGGAGCTTGGTGCCCAGGTTTTGCTAGGGTTGGCAAGAACCAAGTTAGCCTCTCCAAAATGTTAGGCCAACGAGTGGTCCCCAGAGCGGTCAAGAGCAGAGGCAAAGGGGTCATGGACGGCCCAGTGCCAGGCCTCCAAGGCTTGACTGCCGACTTAGCCCCTGAACTTGTCAGTGAGGTTTTCCCCATTGACCCGGCACCGCCAGGCAAGATCTGGGTCTCCTTCGGAGGTCCAGGCGACATGGCAACACTTTCTGAAGTCCTGGTGTCGAAGGGCCAGGGTATCCGAACTGGTAGCTTGGAAGGGCTTGCACACATCGATGGGCAATGGCTGCATGTTCGCCTGATTGACGAGCAGCAGTTCAACAGTTTGGTGTCCAAAGGCAATGCGCCTACTCCTTCTGCAAGGTTGGCCAGGGACTTAGGAGTAGAAGAAGCAAGCGGTTCCCAGGAGAAGGCTGCCACCTCAGGAGAACAGATGAGTGAGGACGCGAGGACGTTGTATGTTGACTACGATGATGAAGGTGAGCGTTTCAAGGAGTGGAGGCAGGTCACCCTTGAGAGCAGGGAGTACAACTACAAGGATTGGCCATTAGATGGCCCAATGACGACGCACCATTTCATCAAGCATACATACCGACATGGAGGAGATCCAAAGCGCTGGTTGTCAGAGTGGATGCGCGCCAAACAAATACAAGAAGGTGATCGTATCAGCTTCGAAATGAAGATTCTGATCGAGAGCCTCTACATAGCCGGCACATACGACCAACTCAATGTCAGTGGGCTGGCTTCTGTGGAAATCCTGGTCCGGAGAATCCAAGCCATCGTGGACGCGTACTCCGCCGGGCCCATTCCAGACTGGAACTCAGCGAAGATCATGACCCTCTACAGGTCACCTGAGGATGCGATCAGCCCTCAGCTCAAAACTTGGGCTGCCAGAAGGAACAAGGAGGAGCTTGACCTTGCGCAAACGCGAGCAAAAGTCCGGGAAGGCAGAAGGGTTGCAATCTTGACTGAGGAGAGCGCTGCAAGTGCAGTTGCGGATGGAGTGCTTCCAGCCGGGGGGCCGAAAGCCAAGGCCAAGCAGAAAGGCAAAGGTCGCGGCTTGGAGCCTCCCGCAAACCCATGAGCTGCAGCAGCCCCGTGACTTCCCCTGGGGTCACGGAACGCGGCCACCAATCCAGGGTTGCCCGGCCTCGGGTTTCAACAGGGGCCCGGGACATATTTCCTTTGCCTATCCCTTTGGCTGAAGCTCCATTGCATGGCCGCCAGCTGAGCAGGAGAAGCGCTCAGCGTGTGGCAAGAAAAGGCCACGTCGACCAAAGGACTCAGGATGCTGTTTTGAGCTTGAACTGGTTAGCTGGCTTTGGTTTCACAGAGAATTCAGGAATTTATGCGCCTGATCCACTTCAAAGGAACGTGTTGGATCGTGTGCACTTTTTAGCGAACCTCTGCAACTCGAAAGGAGAGCTGGACCAGGTTCCCAAACCGGAGGCAGCCCTGATGGCGCTGCTCCAGGGCCGTTCTGAGTATGGCTCCGAACTGCCGACTACTTTGGCGGTCTGCGACCTCGAGCGCATTTCTCTTCCACATACTTTGCAAGGTGCACCAGAGGCTGTATCTTTATTGGATGAGAAAGCCCGTCGATACTTGCAGGACCCCGAGCAAATGCTGAGGCCGGTTCAAGAGGTGAGTGAGGAGTTTGTTCCTTATTGGGATCCACAATTGAGAAGCCACCAGAGGACTTACAAGAAGTTTATACAGAAGTTGCATGCAGCAAACTATTTGGTTTACACCCAAAACCCAAAGAACTTTTGCGGAGTATTCTTTGTCAAAAAACCTGATGGTCAAAAAATTAGGATGATTATCGATGCACGGGGAACCAACAAGTTGTTCAAGGAGCCACCTGGGGTTCAGCTATTAACTTCTGATGGGTTCTCGCGCATTGAGGTCACCGTCCCCGAGGGTTTATGTCCAGGTACCCAAGACTATGAGGATTACCTAAGGCAGACAAAGGTACATATTGGTCTCAGCGACGTCAAGGATTGTTTTCATCGTCTTCGCCAGCCAAAGTGGTTATCCGAATATTTCTGTTTTGATGGTATTCCGGCTAAGTGGGTTCATTTACAGGGTACAACATTGGACGGTGTCTATTTGGAGCCCGATAGTATCATTTATCCTGCCCCTGGTTCGCTCTGCATGGGTTTCACATGGTCCCTTTATTTTGCACAGCAGATCAATGAAAGAATGATGTCTAGGGTTCCGCATTTGGTGTCGTCCCATTTAGTTAACGATAGAGGTGAGGCTATAGTTTTCAACAAGGAAGACAATGACAAGAAGCTGCACCACTACGTTTATGTGGACAACCTGGGTATCCTGAGTACATGTCACGATTCTGTGGAAGAAGGACTGAAACAAGTACAAGAGATTTTCCACGCAGATCAACTTATCCTCCACCCGGGGGCTGTTCATAGCAGCTCCGTCAGGGCGTTGGGCTGCGACCTTCGTGGAGAGCTCATGGCTTCAAGGGTGACCCCCAGAAAGGTACCACAAGGTGCACCAAGCCATCCAGGGATTGCTCCAGCGCAAGAAGGTATCAGGTCGTATTCTTGAGGTCGTTGTAGGGCATGCCACGTTTGTTGCACTTACATGCAGAAGCCTTTTGAGCATTTTCAACACTACCTATCGCTATATCCGTGCTACATATTATCAGCCCAGTATCCTTTGGAAGAGCGTGCGAGAGGAGTTGTTTGCGTTTCGCAGTTTGATGATTTATTTGCATTCTGACTGGACGAGACCATGGAACAACTATGTATCTGCTTCGGATTCTTCACTAGGAGGGTATGGGGTAGTATCATCAGTATGGAAGAGATCTGAGGTAGCAAGGGTTGGTAGGAATTTGGAGAGAGGCCGTTTCAAAAGAATAGGACCACACTCAGCACGGGAAAGCGCATTGACCAGCGCTGGCTTTGTCCGTGATGAGGTGACAAACGAGTGGAAAGCTGGAAGTTTGGAGGACCAGGAGTACCTTCAGCTCAGTGGTTGGGGCCTCAATGAAGCTTTTGAGGAGGTGCCGGGATATTTGCTCCAAAAGGGCCGATGGACGCCACGGCTCTGGGGTAAGTGGAATCATGAGGCAGGTATTTTGGAGCTAGAGGCTAGAGCGTTGGTGAAGAGTCTGAGGAGGATTGCGTTGAGTATATTTGGTCATGATATTAGGCAGTTGCTTTTAACTGATAATATGAGTGTATGCTTGTCGTTTGATCGATCAAGGGCCAGAAGTTTCGCCCCGCTAAAGCAGATTCGCATTTTTTCCGCATACTGTTTGGCCAGAAACATCTCGTGCACAGTAAGATGGATCCCCTCTGAACTCAACAGCGCAGATGCCCCGAGCCGTTTAGATTCAAAGGAGTATGACGAGTCCAAAAGCTTGACCCATGCCATCCCCCGGACCGTCACAGAAGCGGAGGGAACCCACTCTGAAGCCTCCTTTCGAGAGGTCCAGAACCACAGCTCCCAAGCGGAGAGCCACCTTGTCTCCAAGCCACAAAAGCAGTCTGAACCAAGAGCGAGCCCCGCTCCCGAGGATTCGAAGTTTGGACAAACAGCTTCAAACTCCCCCGAGGCCGGGCGTGTTCAACCTGCTAGATGTGGTTTTGAGTGCACCAGTGAAGAGTGCCAAAAGGGCACGCTCGGAGAGCAGCACCGGCTCCACCAGCTCGACTCAGAGCGCAAAGAAAAAGAAAAGAACAGACAAGGCAGTCGAACGCCGATCGTAGCAGATGGCTGTGGCACTGAGTGCCTGGTCGAAGCTGCGGCTGAGCGTTTTAGGCCTTTGAGGGCGGGCAAACGGCAGCCTCGAACGCCGATAGTAGCAGATGGCTGTGGCATGAGTACCTGGTCGAAGCTGCCGCGGCGGGTCTTAGGCCTTGTCAGCCTCGAACGCCGATAGTAGCAGATGGCTGTGGCCTGAGTGCCTGGTCGAAGGTGCCGCGGAGCGTTTTAGGCCTTTGAGGGCGAGCAAACGGCAGCCTCGAACGCCGATAGTAGCAGATGGCTGTGGCCTGAGTGGCTGGTCGAAGCTGCGGCGGAGCGTTTTAGGCCTTTGAGGGCGGGCAAACGGCAGCCTCGAACGCCGATAGTAGCAGATGGCTGTGGCATGAGTACCTGGTCGAAGCTGCCGCGGCGGGTTTTAGGCCTTTGATGTCAGCCTCGAACGCCGATAGTAGCAGATGGCTGTGGCCTGAGTGGCTGGTCGAAGCTGCGGCGGAGCGTTTTAGGCCTTTGAGGGCGGGCAAACGGCAGCCTCGAACGCCGATAGTAGCAGATGGCTGTGGCATGAGTGCCTGGTCGAAGCTGCAGCGGAACGTTTTAGGCCTTTGAGGAACGCCGATAGTAGCAGATGGCTGTGGCATGAGTACCTGGTCGAAGCTGCCGCGGCGGGTTTTAGGCCTTTGAGGGCAGCCTCGAACGCCGATAGTAGCAGATGGCTGTGGCCTGAGAGCTGCCGGTCGAAGCTGCCGCGGAGCGTTTTAGGCCTTTGAAGGCGGGCAAACGGCAGGCTCGAACGCCGCAGTAGTAGCAGATGGCGGTGGCGAACCCAGATAGCTATGGCCTGAGCGCCTGGTCGAAGCTGCATCAGACGGTTTGAGACGTTTGAAGGCCCGGAAACGGAACAGGTTCCACACCTGCGGTGGTCCCAGGCGCCGCCCCTGCCTTGGCGAAGGCCGGGGTCGGCGGATTTCTATTAGACTATAATTCATGACGCCTCTTCCCAATTCTTCAGGTCCTGACAAATGTCATGACTCATTGTCATGTCGGTCCGACATACCAAGAGTGTTGTTGCATCTGTGAAACCCAGATTTAAGCCAGATGCCATGCATGCCACTGGTGAATTCTTCTTTCGTTGCTTGCTAGAGATACTAGGGTCCCATTGCAAAGATTGCTGATTTGTTTTTCCGTTGGGGTCATGGAAGTTTTCAAGAAAAGTGCCGGTGCGGCAGCGCGGCGCCGACAAACGCTTTTGACACTCTTGCAGCGGCAGACGACAGACCGGCACATTTAGAGCATTCGCACAAGGACGCAAGTGTCTGGAACAGCCGATTGGTGGCCTTTGACACAATGCAATCCTGCATCCCTGCAATGCTTGAATTTTGGCACCAGGAAACAGTCGGCATCCCAATAAAATGAAAAAACATGGTCAAATTCCTACATGTGATGAATAGACCATTGTTTGACATATACTTTCAAATCCACAACCAGGTACGTAGACCCCACCATATGAGCACAGCCAGAATTACCACATGAACAGGTCATTAGAGCCCACGGCTACCCAAAGATTCCAGTAATTTCCAGAACATCCTCGTGCTTTTCAGTGAGCCAACGCTTGTCGAGATGGGAGCTTGATGCCATCTGCCACTTGTTTGAATTGAGGACCTTGGGAGTGTATCTTTGGGGAACTGATGACTTGAACATGTTGGATTGACAGATTGACCATATGAATGTTGAAATCTCCTTGGATTCAAATGATTTAGCGTTTCAAAGTGATGTCAAAGGCATGAGATGAAAGGCTTAGCATCCATTTGTGACACTTGCTGTTGGTTGCTGATCTGATTTTCGGGGTCAAGCTGCCCATTGACCCGTGTTGAGTGCTTCAGACATTTTTCATGACATAGAAGACGATCATGTTCACCACGCACCTGTTCATCACCATCGCCAATGCTGCTCAATTATAGCTCACAGTTTCTCTGCTTCGAGCATCGCATTCCTCATTCTCATTCCATAGATCCATAGTCTGTACCGCACCGCTTGCGCGATGGGCTTGTTGCGATACGAATGTTTGGTTCTTACTTGCCTCGGATGGGCTCCTTTCCTTGCTGTGGTGACCTACAAGCTGGACCCAATGACAGATCTTCACGCCTGCAGCAAGCCATGCTACAACATTCAACTTTTTACGACCGAAGCAATGGCTCAAACCATTGCAAACTTACAGCTCAACTCAAGTTTTCCGTCTTGGGACTTCCCAGCCTTTATATCTGTTGAGAATGGTGGCAACTTCTCGGCTCTACATCCCCAAGGCACTTGGTGGGGGCTCATGCAAGCCTATCCGCCTATCCTCGATTCGATTTGGTCAGCATCTGATAACAAAGAGTTTCCCAACCCGGCACACGTCAACGAGCTTGTATGCGAAACAGACAACGTCCGGAAGCAGATTGAGGATAATCCGGACAAGGGCTGGGCCATTACTGTCTACCTTTTTGTCCTCGTCATGTGGACTCTGATGAAACTTGCCCATGACTGGGCTTTGCTGGCAGATGTAGCAGAAGACTTTACACTAGTGATCGGTGTGCTTTCATGGGCTTTTCAGTTGCTGGCATCCTTTGCAGCCTTATACTGGGCAGCTGCTGTGACCGACGTCTTTGTCTCCAGGGTGCCTGAAGGTAATGGTGCTTGCTATTACCAACTGCAGCCTTTCGCAACTTTGACAGCCTTGGGTGCGGCGCTTTTGCTGCTATACTTTAGTCATGTGAAGATGAACAACTTGGTCCTATCCCTTGTGAACTACTTTTGCAAAATATTCAACGTGCCATACGGTGCAGTTAAGGGCATAGCTGCGTCGCAGCCTTTGCTGACCAAAGGATTGCATGGAGATTCCGATGTTCTACCTTCGCCACATCAGCAGCTTGAATGTCGAAACCGGAAGCGGCTGTGCATTTTCGTCAGAAGTCTTTATTGGTTTTGTTTGTTGTCGTATGGGCGGCTAACTGTTCCGTTCGACTTCTTTGGGAACCTCTTCCTGCGAGTGACAGAACTGGCTGTCAGCCAAGCTTGGTCTTTGGCCCCCGTGGTGTTCCTCAAACTTGCCACTCTGCTGGCAGCTGCTGCGACTCCGGTCATTGGTGGCGCTTTGGCAGCTTCTATGCTCGTTACTGTGATACAGGAGGCTCTTTCAGACTGGCGCAGTCTTCGGGCCATTGACAAGCTCACAGTATCTGCTCAACCTCTCCTTTCTACTGCATTGCTTCTGTTGGCGTTGAGCACCTCTGGTGGGGCCTGGAACATAACTCAGGCAGTTGTTTTTCATCGAGGAGCTGATGGCTTGCAGCAGCATTGGGAATGGTACCATCATGGCAAAGCAATCATGTACTATGTTTTTTTCTTGCATTCGGTATGGTAGCCGATGAGTATGATCGCTGAAATGGCGGCATGACAGGCAGCAATGGTGGGGCATGGTGCCTGTACAGTTCCAAAGCAAAGTGCAACAGTTTGGAAAGTATCATTCCACATGTCCCTAACGTTTGACTTTCATATGGACCAGATGCACTGCGTGTGTGGAAAACTGCGTGCCTGAGGAAGAAAAGGTTCTGATCCAAACTTGGTGTTTGAGTAAGTTTGGGATGTAGCGAGAGATGTGACTGTCGTTTTAACGACTGACTAAGTATTATTTCAGCAGATGTGAATTGACTCCAGTCAGCTTCAACCGAATGTTGCTGCCTCTATCATCCTCTATCTGTAACAGGCCTGCACACATCCACATAGAGTCATAGAGTCTCTATGTATATACAGGGTGCTATATACTTTTTCTGTCCCAACAATCCAGATTCAGAGTGTTTCAAACAGACAGTCTTTTGAAAGGAACTTAGGTGTTAGGATGAAAGAGGCAAAGGGTGGACTTGCAGAGTTTTTGGATGACACAATTCAGCTATCTACCATTGTTTTATTGATTTTATAGGAAGAAGATACCAAATTTGAGCGTTCCACACAACTTCACCAAGTTCCTCTCGGTGCCTTCCAATATTTTCCAAGGTGTTCAGTGGACATTGCCCAGCTGTATCCTGAGCAGACAGAATGAGAGTGGTTAGCTCAGAGATCGCTGCTGTCACAACATCAAGCACGTTGCCGGACCAGCTCCTTGCGCCATATATCGCCATCAACCATACCCGTGTTTGTCATGCCATTTATATTCCGGCGTACTGTTCCAAAATGTCATCCAAGTTCTTCTTCAGAACTTCGGACTTCATCATGTCTGCTTCAGAGTTGTTTTGCTCTTCGGATTGTTAGCTGAGGTGCAAGAGATTTGCCCCGATGTCCATTCACCCTATTGTTGCCGTGCTTTGCTGTGCTTTCAGTCGGATCCCAAGCTATCTGTGGACTCACACCAGTCAAATCTTTAATCAACAAACCACCAAGTATGCTACGAAATAATTGGCCACTAAATGATCTTAAAGAATGATGGCAAGATATTCATATATATTCATGGGCAATGGCAGTGAAATGGAGAAATGTTTAAGAAGATGTTGTGACGTTGCAAGCTCTGCTCTGAACTTTTTCCAGTCACTTATTGAGCCATTCTTGACGCTATGCTCCGAATTTTCTCTTGTAACTTGTCAAAGATGGCACATTTAGAAGATGTTGTGAGGTTGCAAGAAAGTTGGCACGTTGCAAGATGCTTGGCACGTTGCAAAATGCTTGAAACGTTTCACGACATTGTCGACGAATGACCGTGTTATTATTTTTGGGGTTGGGGGGTGGGGGGGAAGGTGGAGGGGAAGGAGGGTGGGGGGGACGGGGTGGGAAACTTTTGTCGGACGCAGGCACATGCAGCTTGTGACACGCTCTTGATGCTCTGCTCTGAACTTTTCCCAGTCACTTTTTGAGCCGGTCTTGGCGCTATGCTCTGAATTTTCTCTTGTAACTGGTCAAAGATGGCGCATTTAGAAGATGTTGTGACGTTGCAAGAAAGTTGGCACGTTGCAAGATGCTTGGCACGTTGCAAGATGCTTGAAACGTTTCACAACATTGTCGACGATTGACTGTGTGATTGTTTTTGGGGTGGGGGGCAAGGTGGGGTGGGGGAGGGGGTGGGAAACTTTTGTCCGACACAGGCACATGCAGGTTGTGACACGCTCTTGATGCTCTGCTCTGAACTTTTTCCAGTCACTTTTTGAGCCGGTCTTGACGCTATGCTCCTAATTGTCTCTTGTAACTCGTCACAGAGGGCACATTTAGAGATATAGTTGGCACGTTGCAAGATGCTTGGCACGTTGCATATAAGATGCTTGAAGCGTTTCACAACTTTGTCGACGAATGACCGTGACACACAGACCTTAGTTTGCTAAGTTAACGCTGGGATCTTTTTTCCTTCTTTGTGGAAGCCCTGCACGCGCCGCCCCTCGGCGGCCGACACAGAAGCCCCGCGGCCGACTCAGGCGCCGCCGTCCGACACAGCCCCTCGGCGGCCGACACAGTATACTTCGCGCCGGCGGACACGGCACTTGGCGCCGGCCGACAAGCACACCCAGCCGCCGCCGACACGCCCACCCCGCCGGCCGACTTACCGCGGCCGACACAGACCCTGTCCGAGGCAGTCTTTCTGGTTGTTGTTTGTGTGTTTGTTCCGAGGTGTGATTTCTATTCGACTATAATTCATGACGCCTCTTCCCAATTCTTCAGGTCCTGACAAATGTCATGACGGATTGTCATGTCGGTCCGACATACCAAGAGTGTTGTTGCATCTGTGAAACCCAGATTTAAGCCAGATGCCATGCACGCCACTGGTGAATTCTTCTTTCGTTGCTTGCTAGAGATACTAGGGACCCATCGCAAAGATTGCTGATTTGTTTTTCCGTTATTGGGGTCACGGAAGTACCCTAGGGATTTCAAGAAAAGTGCCGGTGCGGCAGCGCGGCGCCGACAAACGCTTTTGACACTCTTGCAGCGACAGACGACAGACCGGCACATTTAGAGCATTCGCACAAGGACGCCAGTGTCTGGAACAGCCGATTGGTGGCCTAATTAGTTCTTCACTGGATGTTAACATCCAAAGGAATCCAAAGCATCTTTGACACAATGCAATCCTGCATCCCTGCAATGCTTGATATTGGCACCAGGAAACAGTCAGCGTCCCAATAAAATGAAAAAAACATGGTCAAATTCCTACATGTGATGAATAGACCACTGTTTGACATATACTTTCAAATCCACAACCAGGTACGTAGACCCCACCGTATGAGCACAGCCAGAATTACCACATGAACAGGTCATTAGAGCCCACGGCTACCCAAAGATTCCAGTAATTTCCAGAACATCCTCGTGCTTTTCAGTGAGCCAACGCTTGTCGAGATGGGAGCTTGATGCCATCTGCCACTTGTTTGAATTGAGGACCTTAGGAGTGTATCTTTGGGGAGCTGATGACTTGAACATGTTGGATTGACAGATTGACCATGTTGAAATCTCCTTGGATTCAAATGATTTGGCGTTTCAAGCTGATGTCAAAGGCATGAGATGAAAGGCTTAGCATCCATTTGTGACACTTGCTGTTGGTTGCTGATCTGATTTTCGGGGTCAAGCTGCCCATTGACCCGTGTTGAGTGCTTCAGACATTTTTCATGACATAGAAGACGATCATGTTCACCACGCACCTGTTCATCACCATCGCCAATGCTGCTCAATTATAGCTCACAGTTTCTCTGCTTCGAGCATCGCATTCCTCATTCTCATTCCATAGATCCATAGTCTGTACCGCACCGCTTGCGCGATGGGCTTGTTGCGATACGAATGTTTGGTTCTTACTTGCCTCGGATGGGCTCCTTTCCTTGCTGTGGTGACCTACAAGCTCAATCCAATGACAGATCTTCACGCTTGCAGCAAGCCATGCTACAACATTCAACTTTTTACGACCGAAGCAATGGCTCAAACCATTGCAAACTTGCAGCTCAACTCAAGTTTTCCGTCTTGGGACTTCCCAGCCTTTATATCTGTTGAGAATGGTGGCAACTTCTCGGCTCTACATCCCCAAGGCACTTGGTGGGGGCTCATGCAAGCCTCTCCGCCTCTCCTCGATTCGATTTGGTCAGCATCTGATAACAAAGAGTTTCCCAACCCGGCACACGTCAACGAGCTTGTATGCGAAACAGACAACGTCCGGAAGCAGATTGAGGATAATCCGGACAAGGGCTGGGCCATTACTGTCTACCTTTTTGTCCTCGTCATGTGGACTCTGATGAAACTTGCCCATGACTGGGCTTTGCTGGCAGATGTAGCAGAAGACTTTACACTAGTGATCGGTGTGCTTTCATGGGCTTTTCAGTTGCTGGCATCCTTTGCAGCCTTATACTGGGCAGCTGCTGTGACCGACGTCTTTGTCTCCAGAGTGCCTGAAGGTAATGGTGCTTGCTATTACCAACTGCAGCCTTTCGCAACTTTGACAGCCTTGGGTGCGGCGCTTTTGCTGCTATACTTTAGTCATGTGAAGATGAACAACTTGGTCCTATCCCTTGTGAACTACTATTGCAAAATATTCAACGTGCCATACGGGGCAGTTAAGGGCATAGCTGCGTCGCAGCCTTTGCTGACCAAAGGATTGCATGGAGATTCCGATGTTCTACCTTCGCCATATCAGCAGCTTGAATTTCGAAACCGGAAGCGGCTGTGCATTTTCGCCAGAAGTCTTTCTTGGTTTTGTTTGTTGTTGTTTGGGCTAACTCTTCCGTTCGACTTCTTTGGGAACCTCTTCCTGCGAGTGACAGAACAGCTTGGTCTTTGGCCCCCGTGGTGTTCCTCAAACTTGCCACTCTGCTGGCAGCTGCTGCGACTCCGGTCATTGGTGGCGCTTTGGCAGCTTCTATGCTCGTTACTGTGATACAGGAGGCTCTTTCAGACTGGCGCAGTCTTCGGGCCATTGACAAGCTCACAGTATCTGCTCAACCTCTCCTTTCTACTGCATTGCTTCTGTTGGCGTTGAGTACCTCTGGTGGGGCCTGGAACATAACTCAGGCAGTTGTTTTTCATCGAGGAGCTGATGGCTTGCAGCAGCATTGGGAATGGTACCATCATGGCAAAGCAATCATGTACTATGTTTTTTTCTTGCATTCGGTATGGTAGCCGATGAGTATGTAGAGGGACTCTGGATCTTTCTGGGGACGTGAGACGGCAAAAAAACACGACGCGTATCTAGCAGCTGTGTGGTGGCTTTCAGGGTGCTTGTTCAGTTTCGTGTGGTCTGATAACCATTCTAGAGCTTTCACTTCCTCTTGAAATTGTCAAGCCAAGGGCAACTTTTGCGTTTGCCCATGGTTGCCCGGGCCTCAGCACATCCTCAGCCGAAGAGCTGCGCAAGCGGTGCTTGTGGACCTGAACTTCCGTTTGCACTGATTTTTTTTGTATGCAAGGATGTATGCTTGCTGGTAAGATCTTGTAAGTATTCGGATGTGATTCACATTGAAATACATTGTTGTTGCTACCCTCATTAAGTTCTCGGTATTCACATGACACCAGCTTTCGGTTTTGTTGATGACTCTCATGGCCAAACTGTACAACAAGCGAAGGCTGGCTTTATCCAGGTTGCTGTGCGATGACAGACGAGGCAATACAACAAGTGGCGACCAGACATGAGCTCTTTGCAGTCCCGCTGAAATGGCGGCATGACAGGCAGCAATGGTGGGCATGGTGCCTGTACAATTCCAAAGCAAAGTGCCACAATTTGGAAAGTATCATTCCACATGTCCCTCACGTTTGACTTTCATGTGGACCAGACCAGACGCACTGCGTGTGTGGAAAACTGCGCGCCTGAGGAAGGAACAGGTTCTGACCCAAGCCTGGTGTCTCAGTAGGTTTGGGATGTAGCGAGATATGTCGAGGGGATTTGTTGATTTGAGACAAGCTCAAATACCATGCCACTTATTGCTCTATGAATGATTCTTGTACCAATTTGCTGGAAACCTTTTGTTGGTGAGCTACTCCTTCAGCTCGAATGGTGAAAAATCCAGTAGGATCGACCCTGACCGTAGATTTCTGAATTGACTGATCAATGTCTGGTCACAGTCCATTCTGGGGTCAGGCGACGCAGCTCTTCGACTGGAGGCAACAGAGCGACCAAGATGTCAGGCCCCTACAAAAGTCCAAGTCGGTGTTTGGACTCGGTTGTCTGCGTGGAATATTTGTTGATTGTTAAGTTGCCTTGCACGCCCTGCCCATTCGGATATTTGAGAGGTAAAGGTTCAGATCAGGGCGCCTTTGGTCCAAGTCTGACAAATATGTCACACAGCTTTGCCACGTTGGACTTGTTCGCAATGTAGCCATGTCGTAGCCATTTCATGCCAAAAGGCTCAGATGTTTTTCCAAAGTTGCCAGGATTGCAAGGATTGAAACAACAACATGCTAGTGACTGTGCAAGACCAAGGCGCTTTTGTGCAACGTGTGCTTTGAACCGCCATTTTTGGCTGCATCTGCGCAACGGTAGCATACCGTAGCCATGGCTACCCGATGGCTCCTGAGTGGATTTGTAGGTTTCTTCATCGGTTTCGGGTTTCCATGGATCCGTAGCTGTCGCTTGTTTGATGATGAAGCATCCACCCACGTCCTGCCTGCTGAGCCACGCTTGCAAGAAAAATCAGTACTAGAAGTGGACCAGGCACAGCCTTCACGGCTGCACTACGAGGGACTGCAATTGTATTCTCAACCAGCTAGCTCGGACGATGCTTGGAAGAGTTTAAACAAGTTGTCGAAGGGGCCACAAATCAACCTTAATCACTACCGGGGTTTTGTTGGACCTTATGAGGCTTATGCGGACATGTCAGGGCTTGAATTTTCCTTGTTGTATCTGAGCGGCTTGAAAGAAACGGACTCTCTGCTTGACATTGGCTGCGGTGCACTGCGTTTGGGGCGGGTGGTTTCGCCATACCTATTGCCTGGGAAATACCATTGCATTGAGCCAAACAGCTGGCTTGTCCGAGAGGCCCTTCATTATGAAATTGGGGAACAGATCTTGTGGCTGAAGCAACCCAAATTTGCTTTCAATGACAAATTCCAAGCACCACTGGCAGACTCGACTTTCAACTTTTTGATTGCGCAATCCATTTTCTCTCACACTGGCCTGGATATGTTTGAAGGTGCAATGAAGAAGATTAAAGGCTACATGACTGATGCTTCAGTTTTCTTGCTCACTTTTGTGAGGGTCGGCAACTGGCCAAACTGTACAACAAGCGAAGGCTGGCTTTATCCAGGTTGCTGTGCGATGACAGACGAGGCAATACAACAAGTGGCGACCAGACATGAGCTCTTTGCAGTCCCGCTGAAATGGCGGCATGACAGGCAGCAATGGTGGGCATGGTGCCTGTACAATTCCAAAGCAAAGTGCAACAATTTGGAAAGTATCATTCCACATGTCCCTCACGTTTGACTTTCATGTGGACCAGACGCACTGCGTGTGTGGAAAACTGTGCGCCTGAGGAAGGAACAGGTTCTGACCCAAGCCTGGTGTCTCAGTAAGTTTGGGATGTAGCGAGAGATGCGACTATCGGTTTTAAAGTTTAAACGACTAAGTATTATTTCAGCAGAAGTGAATTGACCAAGCGAACGTTGCACGGTGCAATCTACTTTTGCTGTCCCAACAATCCAGATTCAGAATGGTTTCAAACTGGCAGTCTTTTGAAAGCAGGTGTTTAGGATGAAAGAGGCAAAGGGTGGACTTGCAGAGTTTTTGGATGACACAATTCAGCTATCTACCATTGTTTTATTGATTTTATAGGAAGAAGATACCAAATTTGAGCGTTTCACATTGTTCACCAAGTTCCTCCCGGTGCCTTCCAATATTTTCCAAGGTGTTCAGTGGACATTGCCCAGCTGTATCCTGAGCAGACAGAATGAGAGTGGTTAGCTCAGAGATCGCTGCTGTCACAACATCAAGCACGTTGCCGGACCAGCTCCTTGCGCCATATATCGCCATCAACCATACCCATTTATATTCCCGCCGCGTACTGTTTCAAAATTCCTCGTTCCGACTGATCCAAGTTCTGATTCAGAACTTCGGACTTCATCATTTCTGCTTCAGACAGGTTTTACTCTTCGGATTGTTAGCTGAGGTGCTAGAGATTTGCGCCAATGTCAATTCACTCTTCCAATCTTGGAGGCGCAAGAGCAAACAGGACTTCTTCAAACCACAACAGTTTTGTTTTTTCCCGAGAGCGTCTGAGCGCAGGGTTCTTCCAGTAGTGGGGGTCTGTCTCTCATCTTCTCATCTTCTCATCTTCACATCTTCTCATCTTCACATCTTCACACCTTCTCATCTTCACATCTTCTCATCTTCACATCTTCTCATCTTCACATCTTCTCATCTTCACACCTTCTCATCTTCACATCGTCACATCTTCACATCTGCTCATCTTCACATCTGCTCATCTTCACAACTTCTCATCTTCACATCTGCTCATCTTCACATCTTCACATTTTCACATCTCACTTCACATCTTCTCATCTTCACATCTTCTCATCTTCACATCTTCTCATCTTCACATCTTCACATCTTCTCATCTTCACATCTTGTGCTCATCTTCACATCTTCACATCTTCACATCTGCTCATCTTCATATCTTCTCATCTTCACATCTTCACATCCTCACATCTTCACATCTTCTCCTCTTGCCCTCTTGCCCTCTTGTCCTCTTGCCCTCTTGCCCTCTTGCCCTCTTGCCCTCTTGCCCTCTTGCCCTCTCCTTCTTTTATATTTCTCTTCTGAAGGCGGGGGCAGGGGCAGTGCCAACGAGACGGCACGAAACGCAACCCTTTGGCACGAAACGAGGTTCGATCGCCAAAAACTGAGGTAAAATTGCGATTTCAACTTGTCCCGCAACCCTTTCGCACGAAACGAGGTTCGATCGCCAAAAACTGAGGTAAAATTGCGATTTCAAGTCGTCTGGCGCAACCCTTTCGCACGAAATGAGGTTCGATCGTCAAAAACTGAGGTAAAATTGCGATTTCAAGTCGTCCGGCGCAATCCTTTCGCACGAAATGAGGTTCGATCGTCAAAAACTGAGGTAAAAGGTTTTGCAGCCGATAGGGGGTCTTTGGAATTGGATTCTAGGGTCCTTGGTGATTTAGTTCTACCTCTGATTGTGTGATATATGTTTTCCATTATTTATTCTTTATCTATCTTATCTATCAAGGTAGGTGGCCTTGGTATATACAAATGAAAATGATCCCAAAGGAAAGATCGTCTTGGGCTAGTGTCCCTTGGATGTTTCAATATATTGTTAATTCTTTTCCGCCATTCGGTAATCATGCCAAGATGGGGGTTGATAATTAGTGTCTCCATCCATTTCCCCTTCTATTCGTGGAAGTGCCAGTCAGAACAAACGATCACCATTCGATCGTAGTTCAAATAGGTTTTTTTTTGGGGGTTGGGTACTTTGATAAAATATTAAACATATTAAATGTATATATATATATATGTATCAATATATGCAGCCGATAGGGGGTCTTTGGAATTTGATTCTAGGGTCCTTGGTGATTTAGTTCTACCTCTGATTGTGTGATATATGTTTTCCATTATTTATTTCTTTATCTATCTTATCTATCAAGGTAGGTGGCCTTGGTATATACTAATGAAAATGATCCCAAAGGAAAGATTGTCTTGGGCTAGTGTCCCTTGGATGCTTCAATATATTGTTAATTCTTATCCGCCATTCGGTAATCATGCCAAGATGGGAATTGATAATTAGTGTCTCCATCCATTTACCCTTCTATTCGTGGAAGTGCCAGTCAGAACAAACGATCACCATTCGATCGTAGTTCAAATAGTTTTTTTTGGGTTGGGTACTTTGATAAAATATAAAACATATTAAATGTATATATATATATATGTATCAATATATGCAGCCGATAGGGGGTCTTTGGAATTTGATTCTAGGGTCCTTGGTGATTTAGTTCTACCTCTGATTGTGTGATATATGTTTTCCATTATTTATTTCTTTATCTATCTTATCTATCAAGGTAGGTGGCCTTGGTATATACTAATGAAAATGATCCCAAAGGACAGATCGTCTTGGGTTAGTGTCCCTTGGATGTTTCAATATTATTAATTCTTATCCTTCTTTCGGTAGTCATGCCAAGATGGGGGTTGATAATTAGTCTCTCCATCCATTTACCCGTCTATTTATGGAAGTGCCAGTCAGGACAATCGATCACCATTCGATCGTAGTTCAGATAGGTTTCTTTTTTGGGGTTGGTACTTCGATAAAATATAAAATAAAATATTGTTATGCGACGGATGTGCGGATGCGACGGATACGGGGTCCCCCAAGCCAAAAGATCGGCAATTTTTTTTTTGCCTAAATCTCAAAATCAAGGACCCCGAATCCTCTGCGGCAAAAATCATGGTAGAATATAATAGTAGGGCTGTTTCCCAAGTCCACATGCCAATTTCTGCACCCTGAGATCGGCATTTTTTTTTTTCCTAAATCCCAGGGTACAACCTCTGTATTGCCCAAGTCTAGGTGCAGATTTTTGCGACCTTACTTAGGCAATACCCCACCAAGCACCTAGGATATCGTCAAAAAAAAAAAATGCCTAACTCAGGGTGCTGATTTCTGCGCCCTGACTTCGGCAAATTAGCTATTGGACATTGCATTTAAAGGATATACGATGTAGACGTAGAAACAATGGGGGAAATTTAGTACTTGAAAAAAATAATGATAATCAGGGATAACATTGGTGGCTTTATACCAAAGGTATATGGGGGCACCGCCCTAGAAAAAACAAGAGCGTGGTTGATACCTTTTCCATTTTGATCCAGCAATTGGTTGGTACCCTTCAGAAATGGTAGTGGACCCCAGCTAATCCAAGGAATAAAATAAAATAACCGTAACCGATACTTGGATGATATCAATTTAGCCAACCAAGTGGTTGCCTAAGAGTGAACATAATAATGCACATAGAATTTTCTATGAGCATGGCAAAAAAACAAATAGTTACATTAAATAACCAATGGTAAGATGATACCCATTTAATCAACCAATTGGTTACCTCATAGGGAAAATAATAAAGTACCTATAATACAATTCAATTCCATTATCATATATTAAATATTTGGAAAGACCCAAGAATCCATTTCCAGAGAACCCAGATCAATGCACAACATAGATATAATATATTCTATATTTTATCGAAGTACCCAACCCCAAAAAAAACCTATTTGAACTACGATCGAATGGTGATCGTTTGTTCTGACTGGCACTTCCACGAATAGAAGGGTAAATGGATGGAGACACTAATTCTCAACCCCCATCTTGGCATGATTACCGAATGGCGGATAAAAATTAACAATATATTGAAACATCCAAGGGACACTAACCCAAGACGATCTTTCCTTTGGGATCATTTTCACTAGTATATACCAAGGCCACCTACCTTGATAGATAAGATAGATAAAGAAATAAATAATGGAAAACATATATCACACAATCAGAGGTAGAACTAAATCACCAAGGACCCTAGAATCAAATTCCAAAGACCCCCTATCGGCTGCATATATTGATACATATATATATATATACATATAATATGTTTAATATTTTATCAAAGTACCCAACCCAAAAAACAACATATTTGAACTACGATCGAATGGTGATCGGTTGTTCTGACTGGCACTTCCACGAATAGAAGGGTAAATGGATGGAGACACTAATTATCAATTCCCATCTTGGCATGATTACCGAATGGCGGATAAGAATTAACAATATATTGAAACATCCAAGGGACACTAGCCCAAGACGATCTTTCCTTTGGGATCATTTTCACTAGTATATACCAAGGCCACCTACCTTGATAGATAAGATAGATAAAGAAATAAATAATGGAAAACATATATCACACAATCAGAGGTAGAACTAAATCACCAAGGACCCTAGAATCCAATTCCAAAGACCCCCTATCGGCTGCAAAACCTTGTAAAGTTGCGATTTCAAGTCGTCCGGCGCAACCCTTTCGCACGAAGTGAGGTTCGATCGGCAAAAACTGAGGTGAAATTGCGATTTCAACTTGTCCCGCGCAACCCTTTCGCACGAAATGAGGTTCGATCGTCAAAAACTGGGGTAAAATTGCGATTTCCGGGTCCCCGTTGCAACCCTTTCGCACGAAATGAGGGTCGATCGCCAAAAACTGAGGTAAAATTGCGATTTTTTCTGTGTGTACAAAGCTTCTGTGTGCTGTGTGTCAAAGCTTCTGTGTGTAAAAGCATCTGTGTAAAAGCGTCTGTGTAAAAGCGTCTGCTTAAAAGCTTCTGTGTGCTCTGTGTAAAAGTGTCTGTGTGTAAAAGCGTCTGTGTGTAAAAGTTTCTGTGTGTAAAATCGTCTGTGTGTAAAAGTTTCTGTGTGTAAAGGTGTCCGTGTGTAAAGGTGTCTGTGTGTAAAAGCTTCTGTGTGTAAAAGCGTTTGTGTAAAAAGCGTCTGTGTAAACACAAGCTTCTGTGTGTAAAAGCCTCTGTGTGTAAAAGCGCCTGTGTGTAAAAGCCTCTGTGTGTAAAAGCGTCTGTGTGTAAAGCCATCTGTGTGTAAAAGTTTCTGTTGTGTAAAAGTGTCTTTGTGTCAAAGCGTTTGTGTGTAAAAGTGTCTGCGTGTAAAAGCGTGTGTGTGTAAAAGTGTCTGTGTGTAAAAGTGTCTGTGTGTAAAAGCTTCTGTGTGTAAAAGCGTTTGTGTAAAAAGCGCCTGTGTAAAAGCTTCTGTGTGTACAATCTTCTGTGCGTAAAAGCCTCTGCGTGTAAAAGCTTCTGTGTGTAAAATTTTCTGTGTGTAAAAGCCTCTGTGTGTAAAAGCGTCTGTGTGTAAAAGCCTCTGTGTGTAAAAGCTTCTGTGTGTAAAATCTTCTGCGTGTAAAAGTGCCTGTGTGTAAAAGTCTCTGTGTGTAAAGCCGTCTGTGTGTAAAAGCGTCTGTGTGTAAAAGCGCCTGTGTGTAAAAGCGTCTGCGTGTAAAAGGGTCTGTGTGTAAAAGTGTCTGTGTGTAAAACCGTCTGTGTGTAAAAGCGTCTGTGTGTAAAAGCGTCCGTGTGTAAAAGGGTCTGCGTGTAAAGGCTTCAGTGTGTAAAAGTCTCTGTGTGTGAAAGCTTCTGTGTGTAAAAGCGTCTGCGTGTAAAAGCTTCTGTGTGTAAAAGTGTCTGTGTGTAAAACCGTCTGGGTGCAAAAGTGTCTGTGTGTAAAAGCGTCTGTGTGTAAAAGCGCCTGTGTGTAAAAGCGTCTATGTGCAAAAGGGTATGTGTGTAAAAGTGTCTGCGTGTAAAAGCTTCTGTGTGTAAAAGCTCCTGTGTGTAAAAGGGTCTCGGTGTAAAAGCGTCTGTGTGTCAAAGCTTCTGTGTGTAAAAGCGCCTGTGTGTAAAAGCGTCTGTGTGTAAATGCGTCTGTGTGTAAAAGTGTTGTGTGTAAAAGCGTCTGCGTGTAAAAGCGTCTGTGTGTAAAAGCGTCCGTGTGTACAAGCGTCTGTGTGTAAAAGCGTCTGTGTGTGAAAGTGCCTGTATGTAAAAGCTTCTGTGTGTGAAAGCTTTTGTGTGTAAAAGCTTCTGTGTGTAAAAGCTTCTGTGTGTAAAAGCTTTTGTGTGTAAAAGCCTCTGTGTGTAAAAGCGTCTGTGTGTAAAAGCCTCTGTGTGTAAAAGCTTCTGTGTGTAAAATCTTCTGCGTGTAAAAGTGTCTGTGTGTAAAAGTCTCTGTGTGTAAAGCCGTCTGTGTGTAAAAGCGTCTGTGTGTAAAAGCGTCTGCGTGTAAAAGGGTCTGTGTGTAAAAGTGTCTGTGTGTAAAACCGTCTTTGTGTAAAAGCGTCTGTGTGTAAAAGCGTCCGTGTGTAAAAGGGTCTGCGTGTAAAGGCTTCTGTGTGTAAAAGTCTCTGTGTGTGAAAGCTTCTGTGTGTAAAAGCGTCTGCGTGTAAAAGCTTCTGTGTGTAAAAGTGTCTGTGTGTAAAACCGTCTGGGTGCAAAAGTGTCTGTGTGTAAAAGCGCCTGTGTGTAAAAGCGCCTGTGTGTAAAAGCGTCTATGTGCAAAAGCGTATGTGTGTAAAAGTGTCTGCGTGTAAAAGCTTCTGTGTGTAAAAGCTCCTGTGTTTAAAAGGGTCTCGGTGTAAAAGCGCCTGTGTGTAAAAGCTTCTGTGTGTAAAAGCGCCTGTGTGTAAAAGCGTCTGTGTGCAAATGCGTTTGTGTGTAAAAGTGTTTGTGTGTAAAAGCGTCTGCGTGTAAAAGCGTCTGTGTGTAAAGGCGTCCGTGTGTACAAGCGTCTGTGTGTAAAAGCGTCTGTGTGTGAAAGTGCCTGTATGTAAAAGCTTCTGTGTGTGAAAGCTTTTGTGTGTAAAAGCTTCTGTGTGTAAAAGGTTATTCTGTGTGTAAAAGCTTTTGTGTGTAAAAGCGTCTGTGTGTAAAAGCGTCTGTGTGTAAAAGCTTCTGTGTGTAAAAGCGTTTGCGATGCAAACTATTGTCTTGTACTTGTTCTATATTGTCTTGATACTCCTCTTCTCGACTGCCTATAACACATCTTTAATATATTGTTTTGTAATATGGTGTCTCCATACTAACAAGAGAAGACCCTGCTCCTCTACGCTCTCGGGCCATCCGTCGTCTAGTTTTTTGGGTTCAGGTTGACCAAGGTTTCGGCCCAGGATTCCCCCCGCCGTCTTTCTAGGGGTTTTTGGGTCCGCCATAACCTTAGCGGGAACTTGGTGGTTCCTGCGGGATTGCCTGGCTTCTTCGATTGGATTTTCTGCGGGATTTGCTTCTTCGATTGGATTTTCGATTGTGGAGTCGGACAAGCCTTTTTCTAAGTTCACGGTTTAGGGTCAACCGTTAAAACCCTGCCTCCTACTGGCTGTTCTCCGGGACCTACTGCCATTTCAATATATTCCCATTTTTGCACCTGCTGACCGTTTTGTGGCCTTGTGCTCATTTGATCCATTCAGTTCGCCTTTGACTTGATTTTGTGATTTTGGCCTTATTGGTACCTGCTGTTATTCGATTGACCACGTACCCTTGGGTTCTCAATTTCAACTCCAATTCATTCAATTCTTTGGGTTCATATTTTTGTGATTGGGTTCGTCGTGAATTCGACCATCCCACGAATTCTTGGCCATTGTTGAGTTTGACCTTGAGATCGGGCTTGCGTTGCGCAGTTGCGGATCTTGGCCTACTCCTTGGACGTTGCTGTGTATTTCATTGAGCTCGGGCTTGCGATTTGTGCTCCCCTTGCGCTTTGATCTACCTCTTGAACCTTTTTGAGAATTTCATTACGATCGGGCTCGATTTGCGCCCTTTCCATATATTGATCTTCTTTGTGAACATTTTTGAGTATTTCACGACGCTCGGGCTTGCATACATTGCTCCCCTTGCCTTGTGATTGACTGCGTGGAACCCTTTGTGCTTGTGAATGTCCAGTTTGAGTGCAATTTTTTGAATTCTCTTGGTGATTTTCAGCTACGGCGACTTCGCTGGGCAACAGTTTGCGGAAGAGGAGATTGAGAGCTTTGGCGCGAGCACGCTGGCACAAAAATCGGACTGGGAAGCGTGTCTTGACCAATCATCAATTGCAGCAGGTAGCAAAGACCCTTCGAGCACACCACTCAAAGGACCCTACCTTCATCAAAATCATCATGGAATCACAAGATTCATACGCGTGGCACTGCCCATGTGGACGCCTGTGTGGCAAACGGCATGTTCATTGCCCGGACTACCAAACCCATTGGAGGTATGGGATACCGCACTCCAACGAGCCAAAGAGCCCAAGAGCTTATACTAATACCAATACCAAGGCCAATCAGACGCACCAGCATCGCACGCTCGGCATTTGGGTCAGTGGTCACAACAGACCTAGCATGTTGGTCCCTTCAAAGTGGCCTGGAAGTACGGACTCGCCATGCCCTGAGTGAAGCGCTTGTGCCAAAGCTTCGTTTTGACCAACACCCGCACGTTGTAGGGAAAAGCATAGCCTGCTGCCGTAGTCCCACTTTTTGAAGTTGAGCTCGAAGGCGCTCCTCAGAAGAGTGCCGTGCCACTGAAGGCAATTCCTCCAATTTCGCAGCTGAAGACTGCAGTGTCAGTCGCAGCCTTCGCTTGAACTGCAAGATTTCACTTTCGATTCTGCCGTTGGCAGGAGCGTCATCGCCAGAGGTGAAAGTCTGGTACAAACCTCTGCGACCTGCCCATGCTCGAACAGGTTTCGCCAACATTTCTTTGGCGCGGTCAGAATGCAATCTGACCATTGGGATTCCCAAGGCTCGAAAACGAGCCCAAACTCGATCCAGTGCGGGTAGCAACTCACTTGTAGAGCGGCTGCCCAAAGGTTCAAACAAGGTGACATTCTGAATCTTGAAGGGAGCGGTGGCTTCGTCCATCTGCTCTCTCCATTTTTGGTTCAGCTTCTCCCCCTGTTTTTTCTGATCTTCACTGAATCCCCCATCTTCTCCTTCAGGTAGTTCAGGGTTTGGGACATCTCCCCCCATTTCTGGTAGCGGAGCAAGAGGGTCAGCTGGAAGAGCATCACCAAGTTTTCCACCATCTTTTTCATCATCTTTTTCACCATCATCCTTTGACGGAACAGGTTCGACAGGGCCTGCATGAGCTTTTTCACCATGAGCACCTGAACCTGGAAGACATTCTTTAGGGCTGTCGTCTCCACCGGAACGTGGAACTTGACCAGCATGTTGAACTTCAGGACCTGGAAGAGCATCGCAAGGAGGTTGATCACCTTCAGCATGTATAGTTGACCATCCACCACAGGAATCGGCACCGTAGCAAGCAACGCATATTTGGCTTGACGGCCAGTTCCATAGTCCCATCCCTTCACAAGTGGACCAGTGATGTCAACCGACAGCACATAGGCGGATTCCCCATTGTGGTGAGGACCTCGGCGGCGATGTGGTTCTCCAGCGCCCATTTCTTGTATGCAGAGCCGACAGTCACGGCGATAAGGCGTATGGTTCTGCCTCACATGCTGTCGCCACTGATCCAAAGACAAACGTTTGAGGCCAGCCGCAGGCATCTGTTTGATTGACTCCTTGATGGCCTGTATCAACCCCGGAGCCCATGACGACCAGGAAGAGGTCTGTTTGAGACGTTGTGGAAGATCCGCAGCAAGCGGCTCGATGCCCTTCTCGTTCTTCCCACAGCGCAACCCCTGTAGTTCATCCATCCCTGGCAGGTTCGTCAGAAGGTTGGTTGGCTTTCTTCGGCTGTGCCCACATTTTCCCTGATTAAAAGAGATAAGTTTAAGTTGAACTTCTCTGCAAAGGCCTTGAGCTCGGGCCACTCCCAAACGCTTGGCATTTCCCTGGACTCCTCTTCTCCAAGGTAGGTGTGCGGATCCTCAGGGTGCTCGAGGAGAAACCCGTTGGCTCCTGGTTGGCTCTCCTCCATCATTTCGTAGAGGGCCGCCATCTTCAGGACCAATGCTGTGTCTCCGTTGGCCTTTTCAATTTCCAACGGGTCCAAATTGGAAAGGCTCCACCTCAACCCCAACCTACCTCTCAACGGGCGCGGTCCTGGAGCTTTGCGTCGTAGTCTTGAAAACGTCCGGCATGGTGGACAACCCAACAGGACTCTCAGCAAGCCTCGGCAGGCCAACATCGTCAAATAAGCCCAGATAGCTGGCGAGTGCAGATTCTCAGCGCTGTTTGCCGCCACATCCAAGGTGATCACCTCGTAGCCCAGCTTCTGCAACTCCAGCCACTTTCTGCTCGACTTTGTGAAGGCAGAATCCTTCACAAACTTGACTTTGTGAAGGCAGAATCTTTCACAAACTTGACATTGTGAAGGCAGAATCCTTCACAAACTTGACTTTGTGAAGGCAGAATCCTTCACAAACTTGACTTTGTGAAGGCAGAATCCTTCACAAACTTGACTTTGTGAAGGCAAAATCCTTCACAAACTTGACTTTGTGAAAGGCAGAACTTTGTCCTTCACAAACTGGACTTTGTGAAGGCAGAACTGGCTTTGTGAAGCAGAATTCTTCACAAACTTGACTTTGTGAAGGCAGAATCCTTCACAAACTTGACTTTGTGAAGGCAGAATCCTTCACAAACTGGACTTTGTGAAGGCAAATTCCTTCACAAACTGGACTTTGTGAAGGCAGAAATCCTTCACAAACTTGACTTTGTGAAGGCAGATCCTTCACAAACTGGACTTTGTGAAGGCAGACTTCACAAACTGGACTTTGTGAAGGCAGAATCCTTCACAAACTGGACTTTGTGAAGGCAGAATCCTTCACAAACTTGACTTTGTGAAGGCAGAATCCTTCACAAACTTGACTTTGTGAAGGACTTTGTGAAGAATCCTTCACAAACTTGACTTTGTGAAGCCAGAATCCTTCACAAACTTGACTTTGTGAAGGCAGAATCCTTCACAAACTTGACTTTGTGAAGGCAAAATCCTTCACAAACTTGACTTTGTGAAGGCAGTTCCCTTCACAAACTTGACTTTGTGAAGGCAGAATTCTTCACAAACTGGACTTTGTGAAGGCAGAATCCTTCACAAACTTGACTTTGTGAAGGCAGGATCCTTCACAAACTTGACTTTGTGAAGGCAGAATCCTTCACAAACTTGACTTTGTGAAGGCAGAATTCTTCACAAACTTGACTTTGTGAAGGCAGAATCCTTCACAAACTTGACTTTGTGAAGGCAGAATCCTTCACAAACTTGACTTTGTGAAGGCAGAATCCTTCACAAACTTGACTTTGTGAAGGCAGAATTCTTCACAAACTGGACTTTGTGAAGGCAGAATTCTTCACAAACTTGACTTTGTGAAGGCAGAATCCTTCACAAACTTGACTTTGTGAAGGCAGAATCCTTCACAAACTTGACTTTGTGAAGGCAAAATCCTTCACAAACTTGACTTTGTGAAGCCAGAATCCTTCACAAACTTGATTTGTGAAGGCAGGATCCTTCACAAACTTGACTTTGAGAAGGCAAAATCCTTCATAAACTGGACTTTGTGAAGCCAGAATCCTTCACAAACGTGACTTTGTGAAGGCAGAATCCTTCACAAACTTGACTTTGTGAAGGCAGAATCCTTCACAAACTTGACTTTGTGAAGGCAGAATTCTTCACAAACTTGACTTTGTGAAGCCAGAATCCTTCACAAACTTGACTTTGTGAAGGCAGAATTCTTCACAAACTTGACTTTGTGAAGGCAAAATCCTTCACAAACTTCCCGGCGGAAGGGAAACCGCGCGAGCGTTTTGATTGTTTGTTTCCAGGAGAGTCAGAATCACCTGTAATTTACAGTATAAAATGCTGTTCCGAACTCGTTTGATAATTGAATTTTGGTCAAAAAAAGTGGATGCAAAATCTATTGAATTTTGAGAATTCCCTGCGAATACCACGTGCATCAGATGTGGATTCGACGAGTTTTTTACACACCCATAGTCGGCTCAGCGATCCTTCAGTTTGGAAGCTGTCTTTGACAGCAATTTGCCATTGTGGCATTCATAACGCCACTGCCAGCAACGCAGGTATAGCATGACATCTTTGTTCTGCCCTGCCTTTGTCTGCAAATTGCTAGGCACAAATTGTTTAGCCAAATTCCACAGAGAGTCTATCTTCCCTGTGTGCACTTTCAGTACACCCAGCCTGCCACGACGCACACGTTTCACCCACACGCCTTTGCTGTGGTTGCAATGCTGGAAGTGATGCTTTTTGCACCAGGGAGCCTAAGTGTCCGAAGTTCGTGGGGCAGGAAGTCAAGAGAGACAAGGCCACCAATCCGGCAACCACATCTCTGATTTTTGTGGAGGATTGTTTAGTTTGAACTATATCCATTTCGAAGATAATGATCTGCAATACGAGCTTTTGTTTGTTATCCCAAAAAGTGCGTATCTAGAATCATGAGAGAAAAAAGTAATGGGCAAACATCAAAAGAATTATATATATATAAATATTTCGTTCCATCCTGGAGTCCACCTCGTTGAAAGGCTTGTCAAAACAGGCCGAGAAGCATAGGCTGGACAACCATCACTGATGACCACGGAATTCCTTGAAATATCTTTGGCGGCACCGCATGCTTCCAGTTTGGTCACACTTTCAGTCGGCGGCTTGCCGAAGTTCTTGGCCGCCACATTGCCAAAAGCGTACATGTTGATTCGTCGAGACTCACGACAAGTCACTCCGAGAATCTGCTGGTAGTAAATGGTTGTCGAATTTGCTGGTCTCCATTTTTTTATGGAAGTCCCATCGATCTCCAAGTGACCAGACAAAGTTCGAGATGCCTGGCTCTTCTCAGCGCAGCTGGCTTCCGCCACCAGAAAAGCACGCACCAATCGCCGCAAACAAGTCTGCCTCTGACTGGCATAGCCGAAGCGGGCGCCCAGCTCGGACAAACTTGGCGGCTTTGAACTCTCGAACCAAGCTTGGGCAACCAACAGCACATGGTACAGCGGCATTCGAAGAACCGGTAAGAGGGAAAAGCTCAGAACATCTTTCCAGCCTGGCAAGGAGCATATTTGTAAGACAACAGACTCTCCTCACGAGTGTAGTTTCAGAAGTCTTGCGCGATTATCGAGAGGAACATGTTATGCATGTTATACATGTTATACATCTTATGGTCAGTAACTGTCTATTTACGTGTAACACGATTCGTACAGTGAAGCTCTGCTTGGTTTCTTCACACCATGGTGTGTATGAGACAAACAAAAAAGTCTCAAAAAAACATGACGAAGCAAATTCCGAAGCACTGCCACAGGCGTAGCAACGCAGCCACAAGCGACCACGACCGCGCTGCTGCCCGGTTGCCCAGGGAACCCGAGTGAACTGCTCTCCGCAACTGCAGGTTTTGACTTTCTGAATCCAGCCACTCGAAACCAAAGTATTGTAAGCTGCATATGTCTTCTTGGCGTTGAAGTGCGGTTGGTTCTGAATGGCCTTCATAGGACGAGTCCTTCTCATGGAGTCTGATGCAGCATGTTTTGTCTTTGACGACTCCTGACGCTTTTTCTTCGATGGACCGACTTTGGACGTTTGGTTCCAGGTTCTTCTGCCACTTGCTCGTTTGAGAGTTCTTTTCTTTTTAGTCTCCTCAGACGCCAGGCGTAGCTGTTTGCCAGCAGCCACGTGCTCTTGTAAAGACTTCAGGCTGTGAGAGGCCAGTGATTTCAAAACTTTTTGAGCCAGTGTCGGGCACGTTGTGGCGTAGTGACCATCCTTGCCACAGTGCTGGCAACGCGGATGCGTTTTCGTGCCTCTGACCATTTGAGCCGACTTCATACGAGAAAAGAAAGTCAGCCAGGTTCAACTAGCCGAACAAAACACACGTGAGATTCAGAAGCATCTTGTTATCGAACTTACTGGCGGTTAAGCGGGAATAAGGGAATACAAAAAAATATGCCCCATGGCAAGTTCCAAGTACTTGATGATGTGGTTGACATGTTCATGATGCAAAATTATCATAATGACACAGACAATTAAATGTTTACACCAGTGTCTCTGGTTAATATTTGTGATTGGAGATGACTAGTGATTATTATTATAGTTGGTGTGGAATTTTACTAAATATGAAATGATCAAAACTACACCCCCATCAAAAATGAAAAGTCAGTTGCCTCAGTTAAATGAGATCTAGACCAAATGTATTTAAATATGTGGATTAATTAATTAATAGATCAATTGTATCAAACTATTGCCCTTAGATGGATCATGTTGCATTGTCCCATGCTGAAGAAGCATCATCACGTGCATTGCCCCATGCTGCAGAAGCATAACATGCATTTTCCCATGCTGAAGAAGCATCACATGCACTGAAAATTGACCAAATCAGATGCCAGTGAAGCATCCATGCTAAAGAAACAACCATTCTTAGAAACATCCATGCTAATCAGGATCAAAATTCATGGCAATTCGAATTGGGCAGAGCCAAGATCAGTGTGCTAAGGTGGCACTGACGCACCTGTTCAGAATGAGGAAGGTGCCACAAAGCGGCCAGCTAGCTGGCCACATGCCAGCTTGCTGGCAACTGAAACAACCCCAAAACGGCCAGCTAGGCCACATGCCAGCCTGCTGGCAACAATAACATGCCAGTTAGCTAGCCGGCAAGAGCAAGACATATGAAACAAAATATGAAACAACAAATTGGCCAAACACCGTAAGGGTCTTTGGCCAGTTTGTTGTCTATATTATACATTTATTACAAGACATTGACTGGCCAGCTCACTTGCCAAAGGCTCTTTTTTACATGCATGGCGACGGGTGATGCCCACAGTGTCAGTACACTGCTTCTTTGGCATTGGTTCACCCTTAGAATTTGCGTCAATTTCAATCGGAGCTCGAAGGGAGCCCCGACCGTCGGCGAATGACCTTCCGCATGGCCTCTTCCAAGTCTATGCTTGAGAGCCATTTCTTAGTTGAGGCTGAAAAGAAGCGAAAATAGTTTGAAAAAACGTCGGTCAAACAAAATCAAACCTCAGTGAACAACAATAACATCCAAGGCGCGGAGTTGTTCCTCAAATAGTTGTACTTCGCCTTGAGAAGCTCCAGCGGCATCCTGTGCAAGAGGCGTCTTTGAACCATCATCGGGCATGGCGCTGGCTTCTCCTGTAGTTTCTCCTTGGCTCGCGTCCATTGTCCCATTTTCCTGGCTTGGATGGTTTTCGCAGTCACAGAAGGGGGCGGTGGTCGCATCGCTCCCACGGGTGATGATCAAACAGAGGCAACGACATACCGCAGTACGGTGTTCAGTAGAAACCATGAGAACAATGCAAATTATGAACGTGACAACAAAACCGCATATGGAAAGTACAAACAGCTGCGGAGCAGTCATGCACAGGTATGACATCTGCAAACGAACTGACAGCTCCATGTGAAAATCAGAACAACCATGCAGTCCAAACATGATGCAGCTTGGTCTTTTCTGAGTTCCCCCCCAGGACTGAGCGCTCCGACCTCAAACGACCCGACATACAAGAAGATGAAAAGCAAGCTGCAATTTGCAAACTGACGCCAGACCCTTTCCAGTTTAAGGATCGTTTTTTATGTTGCCAAGAAAATAGACATTGCAGAACATTCTCAGACATAACAATACATTATCAAAAGTTTTTATGTATACTTAGATACGCATACTACGACTTAGCGTTTCACAAAGGAACCAAAATTTCTCTCACGTTTGCCGCCAAATTGTTTTCTTGCACTGAACAAACTTCAGTATCCCTAGAAATACATCATAGTGATTAGTCAATAGAAGATTCCCCAACTTACTGTAACTATTATAATCACGAATATGTCAGAACCCAACTAATGCATGCCAGGTCCCTGAGTCTCGAACCTGCAGCACAGAGAATGAGCAACCCAAGAAGACATAATTCACATACCTGCATCTTCCTAGGTATGCTGAATTTCAGTCTGCAGAGGGATAAGTTACTTTTCCTCACGAGACACTGAAAAAAAGATCTGCGGATCTTTTTCAGGTTTCAGCCAGTTTTGGTGGGTTTGGCTACAATTCCAGGAATGGCTCAAAGATGTTATGACCAAGGGGTTCTGGTTTGAAGACGTTCGAAGGAGTTTCAATCACCAATTCAGAATTTATATCGATCAAGTGTTTGAATCAAGTAGATCAACCCTGCAACATCCTGAAACCATAATCCCACTCCATCCCATCAGTTTTTTCCATCTTCTTCCGATCTGGCGGAGTGGTGCGCCCATGCTTCGATGAAGCTATCGCCCTCTTCGCCTTGGATAAGTGCCCTACCGCTGCATGCTGGCCGGGGGAATGCATTGAGTGGTTTGGATTTGGCCAAACTTGAGAATCAACATGTCAAAATGAATGAAGCATCCAAATAATTGGCATCCCCAGTTATGTTCAACCTCTTTGTCATACACTAGCCATTTGGGATCTTGGAGAGGTAAAGTCTAAAGGCTGTTGGTTGCTTGCTTTGGTGGGGATGTCAGACGAGCAGCTTGATGGCGTTGAGATGCCAGATGTCCCCCTCGTAGACTTAGCAAAGTGCCTGGAGAAAGACGCATCAGTGAGAGCCCGGGTGATGGAAACTGAGGGTGGCCAACTCACACGTTGGCCAAACAAAAATGCAGTTGGTTTGAAATCGGTAAAGGCCATGGGCCTAAATTCAACAGCACTAGAAATCATGGCGGAATGGTGGGTGCAGTGGATGGATGTTCCTAAGCCCCCCGGTGTGGATCTCATGAGACGGGAGGCCTGGTTGTGTAAAACATCGTGTTTCTAAAGTGTTGGTGTGCTGAATTAAAAAGGTTCCACTGGTAGGTGTCAACCCTTGCCCGTGATTCTCCCTGAAGGTGCAGGAATTGAGGCGAATGCTTGGCAAGAACCCCAAGGATGCGGTGATCGTGCATGTCGATGGCAAGGGCTTGAAGTCTTTGTTTTCGCATGGCATCTGTCGTTTCAAGGACCGATGTGATACTAGTGAGCCCCGTCCCTATCTTTGCTCAGTTTATTTCTGTGTCACATGGTTTAGGGGAATTAATGAGATGGGTGCCATGATGATCTTCTTAGCGAATAAGGTATGGAAACCACAAGTGAATCATATTGAACCAGGGTCCTAAACATGTAATGAAATTCCAATGTTTTTTAACCCTTCAATATCTGATCCCCAACCTTGGATAGCTAGTTTAATCTTTTAGCTCGTTGCTACAAATGGAAAATATACCCAACCAGCAAAACATATCAAAACATTTATTTTTTGTGGACCACCAAAGATTGACCATGATCTTAGGAACCATCTTTGCAGAAGTTCTATGCTATCTTGGAAGCCAATTGGACTCTCGATGCAGCTGCGGCAGCACAGCCTGCCGCAGCACCTGCCGCAGCACCTGCCGCAGCACCTGCTGCAGCAACTGCCGCAGCACCTGCTGCAGCAACTGCCGCAGCACCTGCCGCAGCACCTGCTGCAGCACCTGCCATGGCAGCACCTGCCGCACCTGTACCAGATCCTAGTCCTGCCCCGGTTCCATCGGCCTTGCCTCCGAATCCAGATTCAGGAGCAGCTTCTTCTGCTCCAGCTGCTGCACCTGTGCCAGCGCCAGAGGCAGCAGTTGTGGAGGATCCGAGAGATGGTGGGGAAGATGATGCTATCATGGTAGACTCTGTGACCTCGGGTGATTTGGTTGTAGCAGTTTCAACAGACACGTTGATGGATACACCAAGCCATGAGGAATTTCAAGACTCACAAACAGACCCTGGATGTTACTTGAGCCCAGTGCATGAACCGATCGAAAACCCAAGTGAAGAGTCAGAACCAGTTTCCATGAGTTCGGCTATGCTGCCCCCATCCATGGTGCCAGAGAAGAAGAGGGTTGCCGCAGACTTGGGGGACAGCCTTGACCCTTATGCCCCTGGTCTATCCTATGATGAGACTGCACGCAGGGTCCGTGCCCGGATTCTTTTGCTCCAGTTCTTTGGTTGCCTTAAGCTGTTTGGTTGATTGGGATGCCATGGTATGAAAGCCAATACAGTAGCACATACAAAAGTGAATTACCATATTATATATTATATATATACAAAAGTAAAACACAACATATGATATTACAAAATGTTGGCAAACACTGTATGATTGCAGGGTGTTGGATTAGTTAGTAAGTGTCATGAAGTTAGTGACTCCCACTCACCATGAGGCAGAACATTGGATGCCCGAGTGCCTCTTCAGCTCCATCATCTTCGGGCCGTTCCGCAACACCTGGGCATGCAGATGTTCCACCAGGTCCCATGACAGCACTCAGAATCGCAATGTTTTCCACTCTTTCAACCTGGGGGATACAATTCACAAAGAAACACAAACGGGTTGACATTTAAAATTTACATATTGTGGTGAAAGTATGGCCCACTGAAGGCACGGAAGCTACTGAGACCCTGCCCATGACTGAGACACAGGTCATGGAAGTGTTTGAAGGCTTCTCGAAGCAAGAATCCCCCCCTTGTTCCAGATCCGCTACGGAGAAGGATATCATGGTTTTTCAGAAGAAGCTTCAACGATTGGAAAGCACCCTGATTCTTGGCGATTCTCCACAGCCTGAAGTGGTTCCTTCTCATGATGGTGGGGCAGCCTGTCCAGACAGTCCCATGCCTGTGTCACCTGCGGATGAAATCTCATTGACCCAGCTGAATCCTGCGGAGGTTAGCCCTGATGGATGTGACCCAGCAAATCCTGTGGAGGTGGAGGTCAGCTCTGATGATTCCGATGGACAAACAGTTCCCCCAGTCTTACGAGAAGCTCAAGATGCTTGGAAAGGTGCTGCCATGGCCAAAGCCCCAAAGGAGGAGAAGGAAGAATCGCGTGGTCGTGGAAGAGTTCGCGGGAGAGGTCGTGGCGGCCGGGCTCCCAAGCAACCTGCGGCCACTGATGAGGTTGAGGTTGTCGCTTGCCCTCGCCGTGACTTGGAGTCTGCTTTTGACGCGGTGGATGACACAGGTCCAAACGTGGAGGTGCCAGACTCTAAGGCAGCCAAAAAAGAAAAAAAGAAGAAAAATGCGGAACCGACCAACAGTACCTCCAAGCGCAAGGAGAAGAAGGGTGTGGAGAAACCGAAAAAACATCGTAAGAGCATGGACAAGAAGGATGGCAAGGACAAACCTGATGAGCCAGAACAAGATCCTGAGATGAACAACCTCCTTGGTGGCAATTCAACGTTTGCTGGAAGGTATCCTCCTGACAGTGCTGAAGCCAGGAACCGCTTTGTGGCCATGGTTTCCACCTACCTCTCGAAGGTGGCGCCGCACATCGACAGCTCCAATACTACTCAGGTTGGTTGGGTGGAAACTTTGTTGGGGCTTGGGAGAATATATGTTGCTGTGGAGCTGAAATACTACATTATTTTTTGTAAAAAAAACAAGTTGACCTGGGCCAACATTGACCTCAAACCCTGACCCTGCAGCACTACTGGTGGAAATTTGCTTTCAAGTCGATTGCGAAGACCAAGAATGTCACCTTGGATGATTATCGTCGCATTGTTGAAGGTGAAGTTGCGAAGTTCCTTCAAACTGCGGAAGCTCGTAGACTGGATGCAACAGACAGCAATTTGCAGGGGGGGCATTCCATCCCAATCTCAACAATGTTGTTATTTTTTCAAGTTTGTTTGTTTGATTTTTGCCCCAACTTTGTTCAGCCAACCTGGGATAGCCTTCGTGTAAGGTGCTGTGGCTCTTGACTCCTAGAGCTGCATTGGTGGTCGGAAGACCAATGCCTTTTTGACTGAGGGCCTAGAGGAGGGGCAGTGCTAGGGCGAAAGTCTGACCAAACATATCACTTTAAATTCAAATCTATTGCCCTTCATCTCAAAGCAAACTTGTGATTCACATCACCTCTTGCATGCTGCCCTCCATGCCCCCGACGACAATAGGGACTAGGGGAGCCAAACAGCATGGGAGCACAAAAGCTAGCTGATTGAGCATCATATCTTGACCGATGTATTATATAGATGGGAAGGAATATGGATAAAGTATATTAAAGAAATATGCTGGGATATAGTAGCCACTGGGATACAATGGATTTAGCTGGACATAATTGGTATTCCAACATCTTATTGTCCCCATCGCAGGTACCCACATCCAGAAGAATGTCAGGACTCAGGCGTGGGCAAAACTGGCTTGCTGGCCGGGGCTATCTGTCAGACCAAGGTCCTGCCCGCATGTTTTGGGACGATTGATCAAAATTACAGGTCAAAGGTATGTTGGGAAAAACAAACGAGTGGTGAGTAAGTGTCCTCAGAACATGTTGGGTTTTAGCATATTTTAGCCTTTAATCCGAAGACCCTTCCAGTCCAAGAGTGAAATTCGTAGACCCAACACTGCCATGGATCTTGACACAGTGGATTTGGTAGCGCGACGGCTGATGGAAATGTCAGCACCGAAGGATTCTCGGTATGAATGGGAACGCCATCCTTACAACAAGTACCACATCCATTCACTGATCAATAAAAAGAATCACAAATTCCAACAACAAGTTATTACGATTCAAATTCAATGTAACTAATATATATATATATATATATATTACGGGGATGTCTCAAAATGAGGTGCCCTTTTTGAGCCCCAAAATGCATTTTTAAAGAATAAAAAAGGGCACGCATCATTTTGAGACATCCCTTCGATGATTTCTTTTCTCCTGGGGAAACATGCAGCCACCTGAGGATTTCATCCTCCTGATCCTTCTTTGCAGCTGGCTACCCATGAGCCAACCTGATGCCCCATGGGATGTCTTGGATTATTTTTGTGGGGTTGGCCGGATCAGCCAACTTGCTTCCAAATTTGGTTTCCAGAGTGCAGCCTGTGATATCAAACATCACCAGCCGGATGCAAGATCAGAATCACAACGCAAGTCTGGACGCCCCAAAAGGTCAAGATTTGATATCAATGGAGAGGTTGGTTTTGCGTTGCCATGCTCAATTGGGAAATTTTGTTTCTTAGAATGGGAAAACTTCTACCAGGGTTCAGCTCCTCCCCAAATCAATTCGATTACTCTTCTTGACATGTTCTTATGTGAAACTATCCCTGCGGATGCTCCTGCTGCCTGTTGGAAGCTGAGGTTGATGGTGAGCCTGGCATTGCAGGGCAAGTTCGCCCAGCTATTGATGATGCTGGCCACTGTTTGCTCGACATGGGTGGCTGTCAACGTAGGGACAAGTCGCAGATCGGTTCTAACTCCATCTGGCTTATGGCATTACACTTCAGTCAGAAAAGCTAATAAGCAAGTGACACGGAGCGGGTTGAGAAACAAGTTCTGCAAATGTTAAACTGACCATTGGTTCTGCTTCGCCATGTGTTCTGAAATTCCCGTCAGGACTTGTCTACTGATCCTCCTGATAGTTTGTATGGATGCAACCTTCATATTGGAGCAGCCGTTCTCCAGCTTGATGATCTTGTTCCATAGGATGCGACAAACCTTCAGAATGTTGAGGAGGGTTGGAGTGAAGGTGGGGATTGGCTAAAGCAGCTAGAGAGGGTCAATAGTATAGGCTTGGTTGTATGTCTAGAATTGGTGCTATCCACCAGCAATCCAAGAATCAACAATCAATTCAATCAAATTTGTTGGCATAATATAATATAATATATAATCACCAGGGAAAGGAAACATCATTTTCCATGAGGGGAGTGGTTATCCAAAAAAGAAATCATGGTTTCAAATGGCCTCTGGGGAAGGAAGGAAATCATTTTCAGTTTCAAAAATTTACTCTTCAGAGTGGTAATTCGTTTTGAGCGTTTCACCCACCAAATCCCAAATTTGGTAGCACCATTCGGGTCCCAAAAAATAACACTTCAGAGTGGTAATTGTTTTTGAGCTTTTCAACCACCAAATCCTTTTGGGTCCCAAAAGAGCCAGAATTGAAAGATGTATTCACTCAGCTTTGTGGGGTGACCTTTGTTCCGTGTTCTGGCCCCAACTTAAAAGAAGTAAAGGTGGTTTGTGCAAAACAGAATGGTGTCACCAAATATCCACCGGTCCAGGTCTTTCAATGCAAGCTGTGGATGCAGAGCTATGGGGGCCGTTGCCCCAAACCGACGATGCTGGTTGCGAACACAGAGCTAATCCAGAAGCTCGAGACTAGTAAGCCCAGGGGTGTGAAAGAAAGGCCTGTGAAAACATGCAGGAAATATACAGATGCCAGTGGTAAACAACGATATCAAGGAACACCCCAACTTCGTTCTACACAGCATTTTAGCTGTAATGGAATATTTTTTCCTTTGTTTCTGGAAGCTTCCGAAAGGTCTAGGTTATATATAACACAAGGCAATGACAATTTCTGATTCGAACCCCTTCTTGGAAACTAAGGGTCTATCCTCCTGGGTTCGCAAGAGCAATCGTGGGGTTGATTCCGGCCATACAATCGGAAAAACCCAAATGGGACCACGATGCCACTCAACTCAATCTTTGGTTTTAGTCTTTGATCCTTGTTCCATGAATTTCAGTGCTTCACGTGTATAGTCCCCGCGCTGCAAAGACCTGCGATTGTGAGGTTGATCTTCGCACCCCGCTCCATGTCCTTTTCGGCGAATACCCTTGGAGCACCTGGGATGAGGCTGAACTGGAATCCACGCTGCATTACCTGCGCGGGTGCAAGCAGCTGAACATTCCAGCAGAGTTTCGACCTTTGATTCCGTCACGGTTGTGATAACCGTGTGAAACTAATTCAATGGTGGCCTTTCAATTCAATGAAGCGGTGGTTGACATGGCACACCAAAAAAAAGTAATTTTTCCCCAGGCGTTTTTACCCAATCCACAGGCGTTTTTCCCCGATACACAGGCGTTTTTTCCCGTACTCTAGTTTTACACAAAATTTTCACAAAAGATAACATACCAAACTCGAATCATCTTTGTGTATCTTATGATTATCGTTCTTTGTTGACCCATGGCATGACCACCATTCAGTACCAAATTCATGACTATCCCAGTTTACCACTGGGCAGGCCCAAAAAAGGGGTCATCGTCCAGTCTTGGGAGTGGAAATGTGGTTGTCTTAGTGCTCAAGACGTTTGCTACAAGATTCTCACCCCTCGAACTCCCAGGTAGAAAATGGAAACAGCTTGTTGTGTGAGTTGGTCTGTGTATATGTTGCAACTGTGTTGGAACTGTTGTCTCATTGTCTTGAAAAAAACTTATCTTCCAACAGCCATTTGGGATCCAATTATTTTTGTGATAGTTTGTCATGAAGCCAATGCAGAGCAACGCATGGTCTTCCTCGAGTTTGGATGCTGCTATGGGAATGGTTTCTGATAGATCCAATGCAATGAAATCGGACCCATTTCCTTCGGAGAAAGATAAAATGACGCAAGAACTGGCTGTACCCAGGATGTGCTTAGTGGTTATCTTTTTTGTTTTTCTTCCATGTGGTTCTTAGTGGTTATCTTAAATATTATCTAGGTCCCTTTGGCTGCTCTGAGGCTTTGCAAGAGTGGCTGGCACGCAATGAGAAGAGCCGGCCAATTCCCACACCGGTTCGGCCTCTTGAGGCTTCGCGACCTTCTTCTGCTCATCAACCTCAAGTTGCTGGGAATGTGGGGGCTGGTGCCGAGGTGGGTGAGAGTCACCACTACCGTGAGTCCATCTCCAATGCCCCCTTGACCTGTGGTTATGCTACCCCTGATGAAAGTGATTCTGATGTTGACATGGAAAAATTGAATTTCAATGAAGATGGGATTGTGCAACCGCCGGAAGTGGAGGTCCCCAAGGCAGACTCCAACGTGGGCTTGTCGCCGCGTGATCTGCCAAAGCCCCCTGTTGCTGTTGCGACTCCAGGCCCAGTTGATCCAGGCCACAGAGCTAGTAAAAATCCTTTGGTGGCTGTCAAGAAGGAAGTTGATCCAGCCCCCAGACCTAGTACAAAAAAGGTCGTGGCTGTTGCGACAGAAGTTGAACCGACCGCATCCTATGGTGGCCATACCCCCTCAACACCAGAACCGTTTCTGGACCAGGATGGCATCCTTTTGAGTGGGGTTCCCTCGATCGCGGATCAGCAAGCTCCAAAGCCGCAGCTTCAAGTTCATGATATTTCTCCAGCAGCAACCGCCAACGTGCCAACCGCATATTCACCCCCAGAGTGGATGGTACATTGAAGGTGTCCAAAGTTATCTTTGACGAGTGGAAGGGTAAGGGAAAAGAGAGAAAACTGTTGGAACAGATTTTCCGTCAATGTGGATATTCCCCAGAATCCTGTCTGTGAGACAAGTTTCACTTTTCTTTTTTGCCAAACCATGTAACCATGTAATTAGATCTCGTGGTGTAGGTGTAAGAAGGAAGGGTAACTCTTGATTTCTGTGGCCCCTGGTTGAAACACATACTCACCCCAAAAAATAATGTTTTAGCACATGCTCATCGCCGAGGAAACCTTCATCTCTGAAGTGGAGATCTTACGTGAAGAGATGCCTGAAACCGAAGTGGTTGTGGAGGGCCAATTTGCTTCGGAGGCTGAAATGGTTGAATGGGGCTTCAGTGAGTACTTTGGTTGAAATATATATGCTTATATAATATAAATTTATATCTTGCTATATGGGGATGTCTCAAAATTGAGGTGCCCTTTTTTTACCTTAAAGGGACATATTTGGGGGCCAAAAAGGGCACCTCATTTTGAGACGTACCATATTTATTAGGCCTGAGCAAAGTAGTAAATAGTAAGAGTTACATTCTTTTGCTGATATTCAATCTTATTACAAGCTACATCTAAAATATATCTAAATAATCTAAATAATCTACATAGAATCTTTATATACCTGTTGTTTACTAATAGAAATAATACATGTACATAAAATATTCTATATAGTTTTGAAAACAAAGAAAACGTTCATAAGATAAGATGTATAAGTATATGAACATCAACAAGATAAATGGGTAAAAACCTATTTAAATTATAAATATATATATAATATCGATTTCTATATCTATATCTGTATAATACTAACTCTACAGTACTTGATATTAAATATATAGAGTATCTATTTCTATATTACAAATATATATATATATATATAAAATACTAACTCTACAGTATATGATATTCATTTGTTCACATACATTTCCATATAATATATATAGATATATAATATGTATAAATATAAATATATATATATATATTGATTTATTTAGTATAGTCGCTTACCACCTGCCGCTTTTTGCTGAGGCAGCGAATCACCGCTGTGAAAGAGCACTGCAAGACCAATCCTACTAAGCTTCTGAGGTGCCGGGCATGGCTGGTATCTTTGGGTATCTCCCTTCCTGTCTTTGTGACCTTGGGTCAGCCAATGCTGCTGCTCACAGGAAAGACATCTACGAGAAGACCCTGCTCTTTTACGTCGAACGTTGCATCAAAGGTACTGAGAAGAATCTTGGTGTGGTATGTGGAAGTGGATTGGGGTGATTTAAGGTTTGGCACTAGAAGGATCTTGGTACTAGAAGAGGGGCCTGATAGGTTTGCCAACTGCAGCATCCATGCATACCTCCCCAAACCATGTTGTCTTCTTCCTAGGAGAAGATCCCGCCTCACAATGAGCAAGAGGGCACGCTTTGAAGAGTCCGGCATCGATGGCATGGACAATGGCTTTGAGATGCCAGATGCATCTGCGGTTGAAGGTGGGCCAATACCCCAGGATCCCTTACCAAACTATCAGCCATGCTTTTGAATTGATAAATTGAATCATCCAAGCCAATTCGAAGAAACTTGGAAAGGCCAAGTGCTCTTTTGTTGGGTAAACTTATGTGTTTTTTAAATCTTGTTTATTAGCCCCTAAGCAATCACCATTCAGTAATTTGGGATTAGCATAACCAAACCAAACAGCACATTCCAAATTCATCTGGGGATTTTGTGGCAGGCGACGAGACGCAGCAGCTCTTGGATGAGTCCGAGAAGGTGGATGCTGCTGCCAAGAAACGTAAGACCCTAGGGATTCCAGAACTAGACCCGGATGCGTTGCCCAGTGCCCAAGTCCAAAGCTACACGATTTCTGGTCGCAGAAAGGCCCATCACTGTATTGATGTTTATTATGTCTACCCCATTCTGAAAAAATCGAACATTTTCCAACCAAGGACAGCTCTGTGCAAACGAATCAAAAAGATGGAAGAGCTTGCTCAGAAGTTCAATGTTGACTGGGCTCTAACGGAATTGCAACAACGGTTTCTTGGAATTGCCCAAGTGGTGCAATACACAGCACTGCTGTGACCAGCCCATGGTCCCCAAACTTACTTACAGCAAGAGCCTTTTCGGCTGAGGCTCCAGACTGCCATCAAGGATTCGTGCAAGGCCTTGGAAAAGTGGCATGGAACACTTTCGGATGAGTACTCCGCTGGTGTGATCAATGGGTATTCGAAGGAGAGACTTTGGATGTATTTGGATTATAAGGAACCAGTTACAATTCAAGAATTTGGGATGTAGAATGCCATAGAATGCCTCATGTCCTCTGGGGGGATTCCCACAGCTGACATGCCAAGGACAGAAGCTCGTTTGAGAAAGCTGATCGATGATGCTGGTGCACAGAGCAGCCCTTAGCGTATGCATTCTTATCCAGGAATCAGAGTGAAATCTTGACATGCTATGTCACTGGATCCTAGGGCATCTGAGTCTCTGGCCTTGGAGAACCGAGCGAGGCTTGGGACCCCACAGCATCATCACCATACGTAGCTTTCATCCCCGCAGCTTCAGCACCATAGATGGTTTTCGCCATCAACCTGGCCAGGCCATTCATTCCACGTGGTGGTGAGCCGGGTGCCAAAGCGAAAGCGAAAGCGAAATCAAAGGCTAAGGCCAAGACTGCCCCTCGAAAGAGGGCGCAGTGAGCAGAGTAGATCAGTGCACTGGCATTGCAAGATGCTTTTTTCAAAGCATTAGGCTAGTTGCGAATCTAGATTTACAGCCGTTGGTTTCCGGCCATTTGCCCGGCACATGTTTGAAACTTTACCTTTTGTTCCACAAAATGTTCCGGCTCTTTTCTCAACCTGGGATGAACTTTCACAACCTCCAGTCAAGCTTGTTGTTTGAGGCCCGGCAAGAACTGGCTGATGGCCAACGCGTGATGAGCATGCGTTGATAATTCTACATGGGGTTAACACAAGCTTGTTGAACTCGCACTCCGGAAAAAAATGTTTAGTTGCCTGCTGCACTAACCCCCAGTGTCACTAAGAAAGACAGTATTTCCTAAAGCAAAACATGCTGATGGCCAGGTGTGGTCGAACGTGCACCTGGTGATACCAGCCAGAACTATGCTGAAATTTTGGCGGATGGGGTAGGAAACCTGGTGTTTGAATCTAGTGAAAGCCTGAAGCAGTGAGGTTCCCTTTTGCTTTCCCAATCCACTGGCCTTCCTAGGTCCCAGCAGCTGCTTTGCGCCACTACGGCGACCTTGCCAGGGCTGAGATGGGTGAATGTGGGAAGAACCTGGCGCCAACAAATTCTGCCAGGGATGCTCATGCCTTTATCAACCGGTGGGGTTTGAGTTGGAGGGTCCCATACTCGCTCTTCAAGTACCAGGAATCCGGACAAAGTTACGAGTTTTCATACTTGAGCCCCATATCCTTCACAAAGTATCTACTTGAGAAAGCCCCTCAGCTGGTCATGGGTGGCATTGATGGATGCCAAGGCCGGAAAAATTTGGAATCGTTCTGGGCTTCCTACAGGGCCATCGATCCTGAACATATTTTTTTCCAAGAAGATTGCCCAGGGAGAACATCGTCCAACACTTTGGCTTTTGCTGTTCATGGAGATGAGGGAAGGGGTGCTAAAAAAGGCAACACTTGCATCATCAGCATGGAAACTGTTCTGGGTCTGCGACATCCATCAGCCCAGTGGGATTCAACTACCTGTTCTGAATGCGTAGTTTCCGCTAAAGGGGCAAAACGCTTTAAGCTAGGCCCTGAGACCACCCAGCATCACAGTATGGACGTGCCTCCATGTGCGAAGCAAGTGACCAACCTCAAGGAGCACAGCTATTTGACTAAGTTTGTGTTGGGGGTACTACCCAACAAGTATTACAAAGGAACTGGTGTGTTGGATGAATTCCTCACTGTGCTATGTGCAGCCTTTGAGGTGTTGTTCAATGATGGTGTGCTTATTGGATCTGACAGATGGTATCTTTGCGTGGTCGGCCTCAAGGGCGATCTACGTTGGCACGAAAAGACTGCGCATTTGGAGCGCTGCTTTAATAAGCAGCTAGGGCATGTGATGTGCATGTGTCACATGTGTGCTGCTGGATCGGCTGAGGTCCCATGGGAGGATTCCTCCCACCAACCAAAATGGAGTCAAACTTTGTTCCCTACGAGGCCTTGGAGTGAGGAAAACGTTCCTTCAATAGTGCAAATTCCTTGCAATCCTGGAAAGCCTGAAGCAATCATAAAATCTGATTTGTTTCACAATACAAAGGTTGGCATGCTGCGAGATTTTGTGGGCAGTGCGGTCATGATGATTATTCACTTTGGGTATTTTCATGAACGAGGGGAAGGCAACAGCCGTGATGTTCTTCTACTACGAGCACATTCTCATTTCATTTGGTATTGCAAAACTACTTCTCAGTACCCAGCTCTTCATTCATTCACCCCGATTTTCTTCAACATGACACGCAGCTGGCATTATCCTTGGGTCAATGCCAAAGGGAGTGATGTGACTCTAATGCTCAGCTGGTTGAAGGTGCTTGCAGTTGCAGTTTTGAACAGCATGGGGAATGAAGTCCATACAGGAGCCCTAGAGAGCATAGTCAGAGCAGTCAACCATGTGAAAGGCTGGGAAAGGATCGTCTATGGGCATGGGCTCTGGCTTACAAAAACTTGTGGCGCAGTTCTCTACGAACATTTCCATCAGTTCATTGAAGAATACAACCTTTTGGCGCACTTGTGCTTGCATCAATTCAGAATTCCTGGCTTTGCAAAAAAAGCAAAGCAACACATGCTGATGCACGCCAAATATGACTTGTATGTGCAGCTGAAGGACCCACTTGTCAAGTGGGTTTTAAACCCGAACATATGGAACTGTGAGATGTGTGAAGATCTAGTAGGCCGACTTTCCCGACTCAGTCGACGTGTTTCACCCCAAACCCCGGCCAAGCGAAGCCTCGATCTTTATTTGATTAAATGCCGGGCTGTGTATCAAAGGTACAAATCAAAAAAAACTGTAAAGAAATATGGTTTGAAAAACAAGAGGATTCCCAGGTAATTATTTTCGAGGGGACATGACAACAACAGACTAAATAATCTATTTGTATCTATTTGTTGCTTTACGTGGGCATCCTCCTTGCCATTGCTCCTGCTGGGGGGCCGGACCATTTTGGAAGGAACCGGTGAGGCGCTCAAATTTTGAAGCTAGCGGTCTTTGGGATTGGCTGGAGGTTGATGGGTCCCAGTTGCTTTGAGTTAGAACTTAGAACAAATAGATTAGAATGAATTATTGCTTTACATTGGAATGAACTTTTCTTTCAACATTTCACTGGCCACTTTCCTGAAGATCATGTCTAAATCATGTTGGAAACAGGTGTTCAACATTCAAATGATTTGAGCAAGATGATGCCTACAGGTCCCCGGGCTACCGCATGTTGGTTTGAACAAATCATAACATGCCCCCTCGGATGTTTTTTTGGGTTCCGGATTTTTTTTGTGACCTCGGATGTTTTTTTGTGCAAGTCAGACCTCGGATCTTTATTTGGGGCTGCGCGAAGTTCCAGGTATATACTATCATCAAAATGTTGATATATAAACGGCCGGAAAACCTATGCATCACTACCGCACCCAAACCCATACGCAGCGTAGCAACCATGTAACGTAGTACAACATGTAACATAGTAAAAGATCCCAGAGATCTTAGCAACGTAGCAACATGTAACGTAGTAAAAGATCCCAGAGATCTCAGCAGCGTAGCAACATGTAACGTAGTACATCATGTAACGTAGTAAAAGATCCCAGAGATCTTAGCAACAAAGCAACATGTAACGTAGTAAAAGATCCCAGAGATCTCAGCAGCGTAGCAACATGTAACGTAGTACAACATGTAACGTAGTAAAAGATCCCAGAGATCTTAGCAGCGTAGCAACATGTAACGTAGTACAACATGTAACATAGTAAAAGATCCCAGAGATCTTAGCAACGTAGCAACATGTAACGTAGTAAAAGATCCCAGAGATCTCAGCAGCGTAGCAACATGTAACGTAGTACAACATGTAACGTAGTAAAAGATCCCAGAGATCTTAGCAGCGTAGCAACATGTAACGTAGTACAACATGTAACATAGTAAAAGATCCCAGAGATCTTAGCAACGTAGCAACATGTAACGTAGTAAAAGATCCCAGAGATCTCAGCAGCGTAGCAACATGTAACGTAGTACAACATGTAACGTAGTAAAAGATCCCAGAGATCTTAGCAACAAAGCAACATGTAACGTAGTAAAAGATCCCAGAGATCTTAGCAACGTAGCAAACATGTAACGTAGTAAAAGATCCCAGAGATCTCAGTAACAGCGATCCCAAATCTTAGCAATAGCAATATATAATGCACGAAGTACAAGGAACGTTAACATGCCCCCCCACCCCACCCCACCCCCCCCACCCCATCAGCAGCGTAGCACATGTCCCATAATAGAAGATCCCAGAGATCTCAGAACGTAGCAACATGTAACTTAGCACACGTCCCGACTCTTGCAATATGGCAATATAATAATGCACGAATACAAGGAACGTTAACATGCCCCCCCACCCCACCCCACCACCCCACCCCAAGCAGCAATACGCAAAAAAGTAGCAAAACGCACGTACGGTTTTCCTGCCGTAGGCACAAACTTGATTTGTGAAGCAGAATCACAAACTTGACTTTGTGAAGGCAGAATCCTTCACAAACTGGACTTTGTGAAGGCAGAATCCTTCACAAACTGGGCTTTGTGAAGCAAGAATCCTTCACAAACTGGACTTTGTGAAGGCAGAATTCCTCACAAACTTGACTTTGTGAAGGCAGAATTCTACACAAACTGGACTTTGTGAAGGCAGAATCCTTCACAAACTGGACTTTGTGAAGGCAGAATCCTTCACAAACTGGACTTTGTGAAGGCAGAATCCTTCACAAACTGGACTTTGTGAAGGCAGGATCCTTCACAAACTTGACTTTGTGAAGCCAGAATCCTTCACAAACTTGACTTTGTGAAGGCAGAATTCTTCACAAACTTGACTTTGTGAAGGCAAACTCCTTCACAAACTTGACTTTGTGAAGGCAGAATCCTTCACAAACTTGACTTTGTGAAGGCAGAATCCTCCACAAACTGGACTTTGTGAAGGCAGAATCCTTCACAAACTTGACTTTGTGAAGCCAGAATCCTTCACAAACTGGTCTTTGTGAAGGCAGAATCCTTCACAAACTTGACTTTGTGAAGCCAGAATCCGTCACAAACTTGACTTTGTGAAGCCAGAATCCTTCACAAACTTGACTTTGTGAAGGCAGAATCCTTCACAAACTTGACTTTGAGAAGGCAAAATCCTTCACAAACTGGACTTTGTGAAGGCAGAATCCTTCACAAACTGGACTTTGTGAAGGCAGAATCCTTCACAAACTTGACTTTGTGAAGGCAGAATCCTTCACAAACTTGACTTTGTGAAGGCAGAATTCTTCACAAACTTGACTTTGTGAAGCCAGAATCCTTCACAAACTTGACTTTGTGAAGGCAGAATCCTTCACAAACTTGACTTTGTGAAGGCAGGATCCTTCACAAACTTGACTTTGTGAAGGCAGAATCCTTCACAAGCTTGACTTTGTGAAGGCAAAATCCTTCACAAACTGGACTTTGTGAAGGCAGGATCCTTCACAAGCTTGACTTTGTGAAGGCAAAATCCTTCACAAACTGGACTTTGTGAAGGCAGGATCCTTCACAAACTGGATCCTTCACAAACTGGACTTTGTGAAAGGACTTTGTGAAGGCAGGGTCCTTCACAAACTTGACTTTGTGAAGGCAAAATCCTTCACAAACTGGACTTTGTGAAGCCAGAATCCTTCACAAACTTGACTTTGTGAAGCCAGAATCCTTCACAAACTTGACTTTGTGAAGGCAGAATCCTTCACAAACTTGGCTTTGTGAAGGCAGAATCCTTCACAAACTTGACTTTGTGAAGGCAGAATTCTTCACAAACTTGACTTTGTGAAGGCAAAATCCTTCACAAACTTGACTTTGTGAAGGCAGAATCCTTCACAAACTGGACTTTGTGAAGGCAGAACCCTTCACAAACTAGGCTTTGTGAAGCAAGAATCCTTCACAAACTGGACTTTGTGAAGGCAGAATTCATCACAAACTTGACTTTGTGAAGGCAGGATCCTTCACAAACTGGACTTTGTGAAGGCAGGATCCTTCACAAACTTGACTTTGTGAAGGCAAAATCCTTCACAAACTTGACTTTGTGAAGGCAAAATCCTTCACAAACTTGACTTTGTGAAGGCAGAATCCTTCACAAACTTGACTTTGTGAAGGCAGAACCCTTCACAAACTGGACTTTGTGAAGGCAAAATCCCCCACAAACTGGACTTTGTGAAGGCAGAATCCTTCACAAACTGGACTTTGTGAAGGCAGGATCCTTCACAAACTTGACTTTGTGAAGGCAGAATCCTTCACAAACTTGACTTTGTGAAGGCAGAATCCTTCACAAACTTGGCTTTGTGAAGCCAGAATCCTTCACAAACTGGACTTTGTGAATGCAGAATTCTTCACAAACTTGACTTTGTGAAGGCAGAATCCTTCACAAACTTGACTTTGTGAAGCCAGAATCCTTCACAAACTTTGTGAAGGCAGAACCCTTCACAAACTTGACTTTGTGAAGGCAGAATTCTTCACAAACTTGACTTTGTGAAGCCAGAATCCTTCACAAACTTGACCTTGTGAAGGCAGGATCCTTCACAAACTTGACTTTGTGAAGGCAGAATCCTCCACAAACTTGACTTTGTGAAGGCAAAATTCTTCACAAACTTGACTTTGTGAAGGCAAAATCCTTCACAAACTTGACTTTGTGAAGCCAGAATCCTTCACAAACTTGACTTTGTGAAGCCAGAATCCTTCACAAACTTGACTTTGTGAAGGCAGAATCCTTCACAAACTGGACTTTGTGAAGGCAGGATCCTTCACAAACTTGACTTTGTGAAGGCAGGATCCTTCACAAACTTGACTTGGTGAAGGCAAAATCCTTCACAAACTGGACTTTGTGAAGCCAGAATCCTTCACAAACTGGACTTTTAGAAGGCAGGATCCTTCACAAACTTGACTTTGTGAAGGCAGAATCCTTCACAAACTTGACTTTGTGAAGGCAAAATCCTTCAAACTGGACTTTGTGAAGGCAGGATCCTTCACAAACTGGACTTTGTGAAGGCAGGATCCTTCACAAACTTGACTTTGTGAAGGCAGAATCCTTCACAAACTTGACTTTGTGAAGGCAGAATTCTTCACAAACGTGACTTTGTGAAGGCAGAATTCTTCACAAACTTGACTTTGTGAATGCAAAATCCTTCACAAACTTGACTTTGTGAAGGCAGAATCCTTCACAAACTTGACTTTGTGAAGGCAGAATCCTCCACAAACTGGACTTTGTGAAGGCAGAATCCTTCACAAACCTGACTTTGTGAAGCCAGAATCCTTCACAAACTGGTCTTTGTGAAGCCAGAATCCTTCACAAGCTTGACTTTGTGAAGGCAAATTCCTTCACAAACTTGACTTTGTGAAGGCAGAATCCTTCACAAACTTGACTTTGTGAAGGCAAAATCCTTCACAAACTTGACTTTGTGAAGGCAAAATCCTTCACAAACTTGACTTTGTGAAGGCAGACTCCTTCACAAACTTGACTTTGTGAAGGCAGAATCCTTCACAAACTGGACTTTGTGAAGGCAGAATCCTTCACAAACTGGACTTTGTGAAGGCAGAATCCTTCACAAACTTGACTTTGTGAAGCCAGAATCCTTCACAAACTTGACTTTGTGAAGGCAGAATTCTTCACAAACTTGACTTTGTGAAGGCAGAATTCTTCACAAACTGGACTTTGTGAAGGCAGAATTCTTCACAAACTTGACTTTGTGAAGCCAGAATCCTTCACAAACTGGACTTTGTGAAGGCAGAATCCTTCACAAACTTGACTTTGTGAAGGCAGAATCCTTCACAAACTTGACTTTGTGAAGGCAGAATCCTTCACAAACTTGACTTTGTGAAGGCAGAATTCTTCACAAACTTGACTTTGTGAAGCCAGAATCCTTGACAAACTTGACTTTGTGAAGGCAGAATCCTTCACAAACTGGACTTTGTGAAGGCAGAATCCTTCACAAACTGGACTTTGTGAAAGCAGAATCCTTCACAAACTGGACTTCGTGAAGCCAGAATCCTTCACAAACTTGACTTTGTGAAGGCAGGATCCTTCACAAACTGGACTTTGTGAAGGCAATATCCTTCACAAACTTGACTTTGTGAAGGCAAAATCCTTCACAAACTTGACTTTGTGAAGGCAGAATCCTTCACAAACTTGACTTTGTGAAGCCAGAATCCTTCACAAACTTGACTTTGTGAAGGCAGAATCCTTCACAAACTGGCTTTGTGAAGGCAGAAGCCTTCACAAACTTGACTTTGTGAAGGCAGAATCCTTCACAAACTTGACTTTGTGAAGGCAGAGCCCTTCACACACTTGACTTTCTGAAGGCAACATTCTCCACAAATTTGACTTTGTGAAGGCAGAATCCTTCACAAACTTGACTTTGTGAAGGCAGAATTCTACACAAACTTGACTTTGTGAAGCCAGAATCCTTCACAAACTTGACTTTGTGAAGCCAGAATCCTTCACAAACTTGACTTTGTGAAGGCAGAATTCTTCACAAACTGGACTTTGTGAAGGCATGTGAGAGCGTGCTCGGAAAGATTGAGTAGCAGTTTCCACATGTGACGCTGTATGTTCTCAAGTGATTCAGTGTAGGGGGTGATGCCATGAAAGCCAAGACCTTCCTCTTATCATTGATCCTACGTTTCCTAGAAGTTGGAAGAGAGAGGCAGGTGTTGGTTCAAGATTCCCAGGCTATCCATCATCATCATCACACGTGCAGTTGTGAGTGCTCCTGCGTGTCTGACCGCGGATTGACTGGTCGAGAAGGATTCTTGTTGACACTGTTGTTGGTCTCGTGTGGTTACATCCTTTACCAGCGTTGTCGCAAAGAAGATCCCCCAAGCTTGCATGGCTCCCCCAGAAGGAAGGGTGGAGGAGTTGTCGTCCTGCCTGCCGGGCGATAAAGTGATTGTATGGTACAGTGATGACTCGGTCTATCATGAGAGAGTGCTGCTGTGGAAAACTGGTGAGTCAACTTGGTATATTGTTACCCCTGATCATGACGTTTATGTGGAGGATTTCAATGACCCGGCCAATGGTCCAGCCAGATTCCACATCAAAGGGCTTCATTTCAAGTACTATTCAAGGCTGTCTCATGGAGTTTACAGATTTGATGACGAACTTTCAGAAGATGAGCTGAAGAAGTTCATTGAGGAGGCTTTGGACGATCTAGGCTATGATGTGCTGCCCCCAGGAGCTTGGTGCCCAGGTTTTGCTAGGGTTGGCAAGAACCAAGTTAGCCTCTCCAAAATGTTAGGCCAACGAGTGGTCCCCAGAGCGGTCAAGAGCAGAGGCAAAGGGGTCATGGACGGCCCAGTGCCAGGCCTCCAAGGCTTGACTGCCGACTTAGCCCCTGAACTTGTCAGTGAGGTTTTCCCCATTGACCCGGCACCGCCAGGCAAGATCTGGGTCTCCTTCGGAGGTCCAGGCGACATGGCAACACTTTCTGAAGTCCTGGTGTCGAAGGGCCAGGGTATCCGAACTGGTAGCTTGGAAGGGCTTGCACACATCGATGGGCAATGGCTGCATGTTCGCCTGATTGACGAGCAGCAGTTCAACAGTTTGGTGTCCAAAGGCAATGCGCCTACTCCTTCTGCAAGGTTGGCCAGGGACTTAGGAGTAGAAGAAGCAAGCGGTTCCCAGGAGAAGGCTGCCACCTCAGGAGAACAGATGAGTGAGGACGCGAGGACGTTGTATGTTGACTACGATGATGAAGGTGAGCGTTTCAAGGAGTGGAGGCAGGTCACCCTTGAGAGCAGGGAGTACAACTACAAGGATTGGCCATTAGATGGCCCAATGACGACGCACCATTTCATCAAGCATACATACCGACATGGAGGAGATCCAAAGCGCTGGTTGTCAGAGTGGATGCGCGCCAAACAAATACAAGAAGGTGATCGTATCAGCTTCGAAATGAAGATTCTGATCGAGAGCCTCTACATAGCCGGCACATACGACCAACTCAATGTCAGTGGGCTGGCTTCTGTGGAAATCCTGGTCCGGAGAATCCAAGCCATCGTGGACGCGTACTCCGCCGGGCCCATTCCAGACTGGAACTCAGCGAAGATCATGACCCTCTACAGGTCACCTGAGGATGCGATCAGCCCTCAGCTCAAAACTTGGGCTGCCAGAAGGAACAAGGAGGAGCTTGACCTTGCGCAAACGCGAGCAAAAGTCCGGGAAGGCAGAAGGGTTGCAATCTTGACTGAGGAGAGCGCTGCAAGTGCAGTTGCGGATGGAGTGCTTCCAGCCGGGGGGCCGAAAGCCAAGGCCAAGCAGAAAGGCAAAGGTCGCGGCTTGGAGCCTCCCGCAAACCCATGAGCTGCAGCAGCCCCGTGACTTCCCCTGGGGTCACGGAACGCGGCCACCAATCCAGGGTTGCCCGGCCTCGGGTTTCAACAGGGGCCCGGGACATATTTCCTTTGCCTATCCCTTTGGCTGAAGCTCCATTGCATGGCCGCCAGCTGAGCAGGAGAAGCGCTCAGCGTGTGGCAAGAAAAGGCCACGTCGACCAAAGGACTCAGGATGCTGTTTTGAGCTTGAACTGGTTAGCTGGCTTTGGTTTCACAGAGAATTCAGGAATTTATGCGCCTGATCCACTTCAAAGGAACGTGTTGGATCGTGTGCACTTTTTAGCGAACCTCTGCAACTCGAAAGGAGAGCTGGACCAGGTTCCCAAACCGGAGGCAGCCCTGATGGCGCTGCTCCAGGGCCGTTCTGAGTATGGCTCCGAACTGCCGACTACTTTGGCGGTCTGCGACCTCGAGCGCATTTCTCTTCCACATACTTTGCAAGGTGCACCAGAGGCTGTATCTTTATTGGATGAGAAAGCCCGTCGATACTTGCAGGACCCCGAGCAAATGCTGAGGCCGGTTCAAGAGGTGAGTGAGGAGTTTGTTCCTTATTGGGATCCACAATTGAGAAGCCACCAGAGGACTTACAAGAAGTTTATACAGAAGTTGCATGCAGCAAACTATTTGGTTTACACCCAAAACCCAAAGAACTTTTGCGGAGTATTCTTTGTCAAAAAACCTGATGGTCAAAAAATTAGGATGATTATCGATGCACGGGGAACCAACAAGTTGTTCAAGGAGCCACCTGGGGTTCAGCTATTAACTTCTGATGGGTTCTCGCGCATTGAGGTCACCGTCCCCGAGGGTTTATGTCCAGGTACCCAAGACTATGAGGATTACCTAAGGCAGACAAAGGTACATATTGGTCTCAGCGACGTCAAGGATTGTTTTCATCGTCTTCGCCAGCCAAAGTGGTTATCCGAATATTTCTGTTTTGATGGTATTCCGGCTAAGTGGGTTCATTTACAGGGTACAACATTGGACGGTGTCTATTTGGAGCCCGATAGTATCATTTATCCTGCCCCTGGTTCGCTCTGCATGGGTTTCACATGGTCCCTTTATTTTGCACAGCAGATCAATGAAAGAATGATGTCTAGGGTTCCGCATTTGGTGTCGTCCCATTTAGTTAACGATAGAGGTGAGGCTATAGTTTTCAACAAGGAAGACAATGACAAGAAGCTGCACCACTACGTTTATGTGGACAACCTGGGTATCCTGAGTACATGTCACGATTCTGTGGAAGAAGGACTGAAACAAGTACAAGAGATTTTCCACGCAGATCAACTTATCCTCCACCCGGGGGCTGTTCATAGCAGCTCCGTCAGGGCGTTGGGCTGCGACCTTCGTGGAGAGCTCATGGCTTCAAGGGTGACCCCCAGAAAGGTACCACAAGGTGCACCAAGCCATCCAGGGATTGCTCCAGCGCAAGAAGGTATCAGGTCGTATTCTTGAGGTCGTTGTAGGGCATGCCACGTTTGTTGCACTTACATGCAGAAGCCTTTTGAGCATTTTCAACACTACCTATCGCTATATCCGTGCTACATATTATCAGCCCAGTATCCTTTGGAAGAGCGTGCGAGAGGAGTTGTTTGCGTTTCGCAGTTTGATGATTTATTTGCATTCTGACTGGACGAGACCATGGAACAACTATGTATCTGCTTCGGATTCTTCACTAGGAGGGTATGGGGTAGTATCATCAGTATGGAAGAGATCTGAGGTAGCAAGGGTTGGTAGGAATTTGGAGAGAGGCCGTTTCAAAAGAATAGGACCACACTCAGCACGGGAAAGCGCATTGACCAGCGCTGGCTTTGTCCGTGATGAGGTGACAAACGAGTGGAAAGCTGGAAGTTTGGAGGACCAGGAGTACCTTCAGCTCAGTGGTTGGGGCCTCAATGAAGCTTTTGAGGAGGTGCCGGGATATTTGCTCCAAAAGGGCCGATGGACGCCACGGCTCTGGGGTAAGTGGAATCATGAGGCAGGTATTTTGGAGCTAGAGGCTAGAGCGTTGGTGAAGAGTCTGAGGAGGATTGCGTTGAGTATATTTGGTCATGATATTAGGCAGTTGCTTTTAACTGATAATATGAGTGTATGCTTGTCGTTTGATCGATCAAGGGCCAGAAGTTTCGCCCCGCTAAAGCAGATTCGCATTTTTTCCGCATACTGTTTGGCCAGAAACATCTCGTGCACAGTAAGATGGATCCCCTCTGAACTCAACAGCGCAGATGCCCCGAGCCGTTTAGATTCAAAGGAGTATGACGAGTCCAAAAGCTTGACCCATGCCATCCCCCGGACCGTCACAGAAGCGGAGGGAACCCACTCTGAAGCCTCCTTTCGAGAGGTCCAGAACCACAGCTCCCAAGCGGAGAGCCACCTTGTCTCCAAGCCACAAAAGCAGTCTGAACCAAGAGCGAGCCCCGCTCCCGAGGATTCGAAGTTTGGACAAACAGCTTCAAACTCCCCCGAGGCCGGGCGTGTTCAACCTGCTAGATGTGGTTTTGAGTGCACCAGTGAAGAGTGCCAAAAGGGCACGCTCGGAGAGCAGCACCGGCTCCACCAGCTCGACTCAGAGCGCAAAGAAAAAGAAAAGAACAGACAAGGCAGTGGAGAAGAGACAGAAAAGAAGGGCAGTGCAAATGGTGAACCATGTCATGGAAGGCGGCAACCTCACCTTCCTGGAAAGCCGAGCAGTGGGAGCGGCAGCTTCGCGACAATACCAGAAGGAGCTAGAGGAATTCAACCTGTTCCTTGCCCAGAAGAGGGTGGACATCAAAGACCAAGAAGCGTTGGATTTGTCCTTGACCCTTTATCTGAACCAGATGTTTGCCGCAGGCTATCAAAGTTACCGAGGAGATCGTCTGATGGCGGCTTGGCTTCATCACCACTCCGAATACGGCCGAAACGGATCTTTGAAATTGCCCCGTTCCTGGCGAGCCATGCGGGGCTTCAGAAAGCTCACGCCTGGGAAATCCAGGAAGGCAATGCCCTTGGCGGTTTGGGCTGCCATTGCAGCCGAAATGAAAAGGACCAACCACCTGAGAATGGCAGTTTTCCTAGTTCTGTCCGTATCAACCTATGCCAGGCCCTCGGAATTGCTGAGAGCCAGAGTGTTCTCTCTTGTCCGACCAGTGCCGGGCGTGACACGATGTTGGTCTCTCCTGCTGTCGCCGGAAGAGCGAGAAGAAAGAACCAAAACTGGAGAGTTCGACACGTCTTTGATGTTGGACAGCACGTGGATGACAGAGTGGATTTCCCCCATTTTGGAGTGCTTGAAGAAGAACCATCCAGAGTCTCCACTGTGGGACTTCGACTACACAGCCTACCACAGGGTATTCCGAGACATTGTGCAGAAGTTCCAGTTGGACATGACACCTTACATGTCCCGACACAGTGGTCCGTCAATCGACCGGGCAAGAAACTTTCGCAGTCAACACGAAGTCCAAAAGCGAGGCCAGTGGAAAGCTCAGAAGAGCATCATGCGCTACGAGAAGAGTGCAAGGCTGGCAGCTCAGTGGGAGTCATTGCCCCAGCCTTTCCGGCTGCACGCCCGAAATTGCGAGGCAAACCTTGGGGAGATGCTGTTGGGGCGAAAAGACGTTCCAATTTACACCGGAAGAGGGCAGTAGGCAACCAATATGTTTTGGATCTTTTTGCCGGTGATGGCGGCGTGGCAAGAGCATGCGAGCACTTAGGATTTAGAGCCAAAGAGTGGGATGTAAGACATGGGCCTGCGCAGGACCTGACTTCGCCGAAAACAATTAAAAGGATATTTCGAGAGATTCGCAGGGGCAGAGTTCTTGCTTGCATGATGGCGCCAGTTGATACTTCCTTTTCAGTTGCACGAGACCGAACCAAAGCCATTCGCAATCAAACCTATCCATGGGGCATCGAGTCTAGTCATTTGACACATGAGGAGAAGAGGAGTATTGAGTTAGGCAATGCTTGTTTTAGGACATGTTTACAAATCATGCACATGCTGGACCAATATTGCATTCCGTATATATTGGCAAGCCCTGCAACTTCTAAAGCGTGGCTTTTACCACCTATTGAAGAGCAACTTTCGAAGCCTTTTGTCACCATGGTCACAGCCGATTTTTGTCAGTTCAACACACCTTGGAAGAAACCCACCTCATTCTTGGTTGGCCATTTAGACCCAGCTGACTTGCATCGCCTGACCAAGGTCTGTTCTGGAGCTCAAGGGCTGTGCAGTCGCACTCAGCGACGCCACTTCAAGCTCACAGGCGTGCGACGCGATGGGGTCCGGTGGGCCGAAGTTGCGCAGACATTTCCCCGTAAGTTATGCCAAGCACTGGCCCACGCACTCACCGCACATCGGCACGCAATACATGCTGCAACTTATATGATTTAGTTAACTTCTACCTATTTAGCTGAAGCTTTGGGTTAGAGAAGATTTGAGACTCAAGCTCACTGCATTTACAGCTCAGCCTTGGCTTTATCCTTTTATTTGAAAGAGGAGAAGATGAGATTTTTTTTTGAGATGAGCAGATTTGAGGATAAGAGCAGATGACTGAGTGAAAGCAGTGGCACCGAAGAACAGTGTAGGCATGCTGAGACTTTGCCAAGGTTTTCGAGACACTTCACCGCGCAAAAGGAAAGCTGCGTGGAAATCTGTGAGAGCGTGCTCGGAAAGATTGAGTAGCAGTTTCCACATGTGACGCTGTATGTTCTCAAGTGATCCCGACCCTGCTTCGCGATCCCAACCCCCAAAATTGGGACTCAAGCTCACTGCATTTACAGCTCAGCCTTGGCTTTATCCTTTTATTTGAAAGAGGAGAAGATGAGATTTTTTTTTGAGATGAGCAGATTTGAGGATAAGAGCAGATGACTGAGTGAAAGCAGTGGCACCGAAGAACGGTG